AAAGAAAAGGAGTAGACGAATTATTTTTCAATGATAAACTTATTGGTAATTCCACTTTTTTCTCTCAGCATTTCGAGAACCATACTGAATAAAAATGATTTTGAAATTGATTTTGTTGATCAAAAAAGTTCCGCATGAATGAAACTACAGTCTTTAGAAATTTTCTTTATAACAAGCGTCTATTAAAATTTTGCTGCGTTTAACAAAATAAACATAATAACTATTTAAGAAAATATTGGTGAGTTCAAAAAGAATTTCAGACACAGTAAAAGCCAACTTCTAGACTAAGAACATTTAGCAAGTGTAAGTGATTTATCAAAGCATGAGTGTTCTTTCCACAATCAATAAACCAATCTAAGCTGAAATTTCCACTTCCATAAAGTGTCACTCAGTTCAACAAGTTTTATGGGGACGATCAAAAACTCATTTGCAAAGAGCACAACCCTGTGCTCCAGAAATAGGAAAAAGAAATGTTGTTGATATTCAAATATTTACATTCCACTTGGAGAGCCAGAAAAGCGAGTTAGCCAAAAATTTAATCAGCTAAAAGGTGAAGTGGGTTCAGTTTTATTTTTACGTAAATGCGGTTGGTTTTAGCTGGTTTTGTTTTCAGCAAGTTATTTTAGCGTGGAGAATAGCTAGCATTATTTGAAAAGCATATCAAAAATTTTATCAGGAACTAGAAATGACTCCAACCAGATAAACATGATATTATCGTCTTTAAATAGACAACTATAGATCGATTTTTACGTTAAAAGCAGATGCAAAGGGGAAAATCTACTTTTCTTAGATATTGAGCACATAAAAATAGTAGACACATTTTAGCAGAGATTGCTGTAAATTTAGGTGAGAGGTTTATAGAGATTTCCGCTAATTAAATCACAGTCAGAAGAAGCAATTTCCATGAACTGTGCGATGTTAATTGACACACACGAATTCCGAAGGGCACGAAAGATAAGTAAGAATCGTAAAAGCAGCCTCTTGAGTACTCTCCCAACTTGCTAGATGCTTCATATGTCAATGAACGCACAGCTGACTCATGAGCCAATTGTTTTAAACATTTTTAAAACAGTAGTTTTAATGTCAGTTAAAGGAAAATTCCCTCTGCCGCCCCATAACTACGCTTTATTGAGTAATCACACTTCATTTGGACAAGAAGAGCATGAGCAAGTTTGCACAATTGAGTTTATGAGCTATGTTGTCATTAGCCTTTGCTTGATAAATACAGTACGAAAAAGAAAGCAAATATTCATAACCCAAGTTCACGCTGCGTGTGAGAGTTTCAGTATATGGTCTTATCTCGTTGTAGCGTTGAATGGATACTTTCATCTAAGGCGATACCAGCCATGTAATTACATCATTTTTCTTTTTTGGCAGGTACCCCTTGCTTATGCCCAGAGCAACTCAAAGTATATCTTCCTTATAAAACAGATGTGTGTGGGGAAAAATAACTCCAAATTCTTGCAAAGTTATTGGCAGGTTTTTAACGCTCCATGAAAAAGTAGAGACTCATGATAGCCTCTCCCGAATGAGTGAAGCGTGACTGTAACGAAATGTTGACTATGAGCCAGTACACTTCGTGACTGAGTGAACTTGAAAGCGGCATCTTGCTTTTTAAACGTTTCACTCCGAACAGAAGAACTTAGCTTGCTGACTAGTTTTGTTTTTTGTTATTTCCCTTAGAAATCGTAGCGATTCTCTTTAGAATTCAACGTTTCGGTAAAACGATAGCTATACCATGACGGGGCAGCCAGCTACCCAAGATACGTTTAATGCCACTCAGGGTATGTTAGTTTACTTGCACTAACATGTCGGTGTTACGTTTTTTGTGGACTGACACATGTGGGAACCACCTAAGTTATTAAACAAAGTAAGTTATACCATATGCTCTCAAGTAAACGTTTCCAAAGTCACTTCTTATAGTTTATAAACAAATGCATACTCGTCACTTTAAATAGGTGATTTAATTACTAAATGTTCTCTTGACTTAAAAACCGAATGGAACTTAAAACGTTCTTAACCGTTGTTAAAAGCATCCATTTACAACCAAGATACCAGTTAATAACAAATTGAACGAAGGACATAGCCCTATGAAACTCTCTCTTGAAGGAATTCAAGGTCGCTAATTTTCTGGTTTTGTTTTCAATTTGCTTTTATTTTTGGCTGCTCACGAAGGTTTTTCGGATCGGCTACACGAGCTGTGTCGCTAAGACACCTACAGCTGGGTCACCAGTTACTGCAGGTATGCTTCGAGTGAGACTCGTTTACATCCACATGGCTATTCAATCTACATACATGTGATTTGACGCCTAGCAACCGCCTTTTCCCTTTTAAATCAGTTTCTATCTCGTTAAGATTTAGTTTTAGCGGGAAGATTGAGATAATTATTCGCCAACAACTCAGCGATCAAATGGAAAGAATTGTGTTGGAGGATTTCAATCAAAACTCTGGTAGTGTCACGTTGGTTGAGAAAAATAAATTGAAACTACTGACTAGACGAACCAATTCAAGAAAACATTTGCCAAAACAGGTCGTTTTTGAATCTCAAAATCTCGAGATAAAGTAAGCGATGATCTAAAATATACGGTTTAAAATCCAGCGTTCAACTGTTGGGACCTTTTAAAAGAATATATCAACTATCTTTTGAATGCCTTTTTCGAGTGTACATATAAAGATTCAGATTCGTGGATTTGCAACTCAAGGTTGAGAACCCGTCTACAAATACGCGCTTGTCATAAACTATTTCTTTAGAATTCAAGTACAATAGTGTTTAATTAAGATGTTGTTGAAACGCCAGGGAACGAAATGATTCTCAAATTAAAAGAAATCTTAATATGATTTAATTTTAAAAATAATTTTCTTCATTCGGGTTGAAATTTAACTATTTTTTCCCTTTTTTATTTCTGGCGGCTTACAGATCTTAAGATTTCAAACCCCATATAATGAAAATAGGCGTTTCCCATTTTCCTTTGACGTGTTTTGAGGACAGATTTTGGTTTTTGTTTATTGTAAATGTTATCAGAAGTTGTTACTTCAGATATATTCAGATCTATCTCCTATTTGCTGATATGTAGAAGAGTATAAATGATTAGAAATGGAAAAAAGATTGACTCACGAGGAAGCGCAATAAGACTAAGAGAGACATGCAACTTTGTTAAATTTAACAACAAACTGATCCAATGGGTCTTAGGTCATATACTCATTAAAAAAACGCATCTATCCGCGAGAAAACGATAAGAAGGCGTTTTTCGTATTTACTGATAAAATCTAATGAAGCTTCCCTTTTCACGGTTTAATAATACCTTTAGCTTGCTTTTTTAATTCATTGTCAAGCTTTGTATTCGTCTTTGAAAACCATTAAACCTTTCACGTGCACTATGTCTATCCCCAAAACCTTTGAGAATTAAAGTTTGTTACTGGCCGAACAAAGCAGGATTCCGGCAACGTTTGGAGAAAAATTTCAATAAAAACTTGATGGAGATAAGAACTATGTTTAATTTACTTGTGATTATCTTGGATGCTATCAAAAAGTGGACATATATCACCTCGAATTCACACAATACCAGGTATTTTGACGTTTTCGTCAGGTATTGCGTAAAAAATCTAACGAGAAAAATGCTCTATTGTCAATCGCATGGAAAAGCACCAACAACTGCGAATTTAAGAAACAAAGAAATCATCTTATTCGCGGCTTATTGAATTTGAGGGATCCATTGAGGCTGTTTTCGATTTCAAACAACTTAAAAAACTTTGCCATGTTTATCTCCTCCACAAAGTGAAATCCATTTCCATTTTACAGCTTGTAGTCTGTACCAGTTCGTTGTTAAAACACAGCACCTGCTATACCTTCTTGCGGAGCAAAACAGCACCAGTTCAGGAAATTTTTGTTCATGGGGTTCCATTATTGTTTCACCAAACCAAAATAGAAAATGCGATGTTAAAACAATTCCATTTCCAAGAAAATTTGCGCTCGAAGCGACTGGCTGTAACTACTTCAGAAAATACCACTGAGTTTCTTCACCAGATCTTAGGATATTTTATTGGATTGAACGCTTTTTTTCATCGTGAAACTTATTTCAATATTGCTACGCAAGAATAATTTGCTTCGGTTGGCTAAAATCGTGTGTTCTGTCTTCTTTTTGATCGAAAGCTCTTACTTCTTTGCTAATCACGTTTTTATCTCATTGGCTGCGGCTTCAGGGTAAATAAAAACCTTCTTTTTTGGAAGTAATTATAGAACCACAGGGGATATAGAAATAGGAGGAAAAAACTGTGATAAGATGAATGACATCCAAGCCCGCTTCACGTAATAAATGATAATTAGATTGATGGCATTTAGAATTGCTGAAAACAACGCTTACTTGGTTACGCTTTGGCCTGCCCTTCTCTGCTCGCGTTATTTTCGTTAAATCAAAATATTTGATATTCCCTACCTTTGATGCTTGTTTTAAATATTTTGCGACTGAGTTAATGCTTTGCGGATGGCTCCGGATAGCCCGTAGAACACACATTTAAAAAAAAAATTACTTCGGAACGTTGTCGTCTCTTAAATTTCCTGAACGCTTTTCGTAATCTATAGTTTTTTCAACGTATTTGTTCTTCACCGTTTCCGTGGAAGCTGCGCAAAGATGTGTTAACCTTGATAGCGCTGGTATGCATACATGAATATCGCTGCGCCTCGAAAACTGTTCAGTTATGTACGGTCATGTACACACTGGCAAGACCGTCTATTTTTAATGGAATACTTGATAGAGTTTTACATAATAAAAGTAGAAAACATTAATTTTTACTGTGAGACGCGTTTGCTTCTGTTGACGTAGAGGCTTTCTCACAAAACAGCAACGGGAATATTTCACAGCGTTTCAGACAGGATTATTTCCAGGAGTTGCGCTATCAAATTTGCTAAAATGGCGGAAAATATAACAGGTGAAGCCAGTTCCTTTCATCACAAGCGGTGTCCTCGGATAATGGACTCACTCAAGGATCGGGGATAGGTGTGTGCTTTTTCTGTTTTTTTGGAGGGGACTATTTAACAGTATTGAATACGATTCCTTTGGGCCTTGTTTGGGTTCGCGTTTCGCCGCTTAGATCTTAAAAATAAACTCAAATGTAAGCAATTAGCATTTTATCAACAGTGTGTTGAAAAGTTGGGAAATTTGCATCGGCAATCATTTTCTCGCTGGGAGATTATTCCAAAATCTTAATGGAAAACTATGCAAACTCTCGTCTCTAGCATACCTTAAGAAAAGCCTTTAAAAGAAAAGTATAAGGATTGATGATTTTGGAAGGTATACAAAACGAATAAACCGTGTATTTCTTGGACAAAGGACAGCTGGGCCTGACATCTGGTAAACATGGCTTCATTTGTTATCGTCTTTATTATATCAGACCAATATGGGTATTAGAATCACAACGATTTCTATTGTATGTATAATTCGCGTCAGATAAGCTTCGACGACGGGAAGTTTGCGATTACCACTGTACTATCGAGTCAAAACTACGCGTAGTTTTTTTTCAGCGAAACACGAGACACTTTTCTTAATAAGGAACATTCCAGATATGTATTCATTTCACCGAAGCAATCGAGAATCTAAAAAAAAGTATCCAAAATATAGTGAAAAAATCGTAATCATGAAAGGATAATCGCCAGAGATTTAAACTCTTGTATATTAGTAAAATTTTCAATAAGCAAATCTAGAGTGCTTTTAGTCGAAAATATGGGTTGGATTTAGAAAAAGTGCGGTTTTGCCTTACAGGCAAAGACAGCTAAAATATTTTACATTACCATGCCAGGTTCAATTATATTCATTTCCTTTTTAGCGAGCGGGACTATTAAGCTAAGGGCGGAGTGCGAACAACCTGTCGTATTCAATTCTTCGTTATATAGTTGCAATGTTTTGAAGTTCCTTGGCGAATAAAAGTAGCCGCCGTGTACCAATGACGCTTCGCATGTGAGCACAAAAATTCCACCTCACGCCGTGTAATCAGCGTACGAAAATAGATAAAGGCCAAGTTGAGCTTTGCTTGATTGTAATGAGCGAGTTGACGCACAGAACGAAAAAAGTAATGATTGCGCATTGACTTAAGTTCGAATTTAAAGCTTTGACAACAATACGTCCAATTCGGCCGTCTCTTAGTTTCACTTTCGTGCAGTTTACCATCATTAGCTCGGCGAGTTTGTTTTCCCAAAATTAATTCTTAACCAATGAAAAGTGATAACTGTCGTAATTATCTCCCTTCCAGCAGTACTCATTAATATAGAGCTTAGTTCATTCATCAAGCTAATTCTACGCGTACAGAAAGGTTTGGTTTTAGCGGCCAATGGCGCTAGAGAGATGGCCGGCCCCTTACACGTGCATGGCGTGTGCCAAACAATAACCCTATTACACTTGAATTGGAAATTGCACAGGATTCGAGCTCATTGGTTCTTTTCTTTATTGAGGGGAGACTGTAAGTGCGTTAATGAATTTTAATAAAGGGATTAATTGTCTCAAGCCGATTTGTTGGTAACAAAAATGTTACACTTGAACACACAATTCCACGCATGGTTACCGCTTGGAAAAAAATCGCGTCAAGATTATTGGTACGAAACATAGCTTCGAAATACGATATAAAGTTATGCATCTGTAATTTCTGTCAGCTCTACTGACAATTTTCACCGGTGCTAATCTTGTCGGTCAATGAAAAGATACCCGTAACTGGTGATTGCCGAAATTTTTGTTATCAATTTCCCCCCGCAGATGTTTCATGAATGAGTTATTTTTTCCCAACGAACCGGGTCAGCCGATAGCTGGAACTTGCGACCGTGTCAACTAGGACAGGTTCAGCTGTCGTTGGGCGCATGCGCAGTATTAATTTTTAAACTGCGCGTGCGCATCTGTTTGGAAACAGGTGCATGTGAAGTGCAAATGTTGTTAACACAATGATAATGATTGTCTCTTTCTTTACGGGCACTCTCACTGCATTTAAGAACATTTTCACGCCATGCTAGAAGGCTTCAGTTCACTGTGAAACGTCTCCGAGATGAATCGCGACAGTTTACTAAATAAGACTCTTAGTCCTCCTCTGTCATCTCGAGTGCCTATTTCCCATTCTAATGGTATTTCTTACTCTAATTCTTCGCTTTCCGGAGGTCAGATGAATGAGCCAAGCTGGATACCCTCGATTCGTGGATCTACTCACTCGGTATTTATTCTAAAATTTTTATTTGATGCGTTTTGTAATGTTTGCGTTCGCGCGTCCTCCGCTTGGTCTCGAGTACTGGCGTTCGCTTTGGCGCTCGCCGGCAATTTTCGCAGTTGAAAACTTTTTCCCCATTCGAAAAAATTTAAATTGATAATTTTTCTTTCTTGTTATAGCTGTCTTTCCCGTCAAGATCTAACAACCTGGTATGTGATAAATAAAATAAATACAACTTGATCGAATTCATTTCCGTTAGTCAATATTACACTTGGGTGCTCAAACATCGTTTCTGCCTTCCTCTTTGCAGATTCCTCCAAGTGTGTTTGATGGGTTTGACGACTCTCACTTACTCACTGCCTCGCAGCTCGAACCGATGCCGAAATATCTCTCGACGAAGCAGAACAAACCGTCTGGATTTACGAGCTTGCACAGCTATCACTCCACGCACGGGCATGATACGAGCACGTATGATGCCCACGATATTTTGGATCAAATCTCGGCTTCGCTCCAACCAACAGTAAGTGAGTCAGCGTTTGATAAACCGTTCGAAACGCCGTCTCCAGTCACCGCCACGCCTGTCCACTCTTTACACTCCGCTATCCACTCTGCTATTAGCGTCGCGGCCAGTAGCGACGATGTAATGAATCCGCGAGAGCTAGAGTGGTTCGCAGAACGCTTTAAACAAAGAAGAATCAAGCTTGGAGTCACTCAAGCGGACGTGGGAGCTGCGTTAGCTCATTTGAAAATCCCCGGCGTAGGATCGTTAAGCCAGTCCACGATTTGTAGATTTGAGTCGCTTACACTAAGCCACAATAACATGATGGCTTTGAAACCCGTGTTGACGGCGTGGCTAGAAGAGGCTGAAAAAGCGTACAAATGCAAGAACACAACCAGCCAATTCCTTCCTAATTCGGATAAAAAGAGAAAGCGAACATCGATTGGAGCTGCGGAGAAGCGTTCGCTGGAGGCCTACTTCGCGATGAATCCAAGACCTTCAAGCGACAAGATAGCGTCGATTGCAGAAAAACTAGACCTTTCAAAAAATGTCGTGCGTGTTTGGTTCTGTAACCAGCGACAAAAGAAGAAAAGAATGAAATTCTCCGTTCATTGAAAGATGAAATAACTTGGAGTAAAACAAATTGAATTTCCTTCCGAAAATCCCGTCGGAATCGCTCCATGGATCGACTTTCGTACGCGTGGATGGCGATACGGAGTGGTCAACAGCAATTTTGGAGTAAATTACAAATGGTGAATCTTATTTCTATTATAGACTGAAAATTTCGAGTCAATGAACGAAGCAAGTCCTGAATTTTATTGCTCCTACTATTAAGCCACTGAAGTTTAAATAAGAAAGCCCGCCGCTACCTAATGAACGGACGCGCTCGAAAATGAGCGACATAATCCCGTTGAAAAGCGATGCCTATGCGAACTGTTATGGAAGATGTTCTGTTATCCTCGAGAAACTTGTCGCGCACAGCTTAACAGCCCGCAGGTAAATAATATTCAGTGTATACCCTATTAGCCTAACAACTAAAGGAAGAAATTCCGAAGCACAAATCACTTCCGCCGAGTAGTAAAATTATTCATCGTACATTTTGCCACAATTTCATCGTAGTTGCTACTACAGTTTCGATTTTAGGGCCGAGGATTGATGATAATAAGCCCCGAAATCATTTTTCCTTACACCTGTTTCATTTTGGCAAAATCAATTTCCCCATTTATGAAAAGTTGAATGTATTACTTGCAATTTATGTAAATTTGGAGGTTCTTTGTGAAGAAAAGCCGTTAAGACGTTATTAGTTTAGCACAGAATCGAAGGAACTACAGAAAATCGTTAAAATTAGACGAAAACAAATATGAAAACGTCCGTCGCTTCAAACGGTTTTTCTTCAAATAGAACCACCACACACACATCAATTACGCGGCCGGGCTTGGCTTTGTTCAACAGTGCAGTCCAATGAAAGCGATCCTTTTAATTGCTTACAAACACTTCAGTAAAGAACTTATACTGCTAGATAGCAATAATGGCATAGGCCGGGAAAGTATATGTATTTAAATATATATTTTGAAATTTTATACGTTGAGGAAACTTTTATGAATTAGTCTTTACGATGTATATTTATTGACGCTGTACAAATTTTACCGCTAGCACCATAATTTAAGTCATTTTCTGAAACTCTATTTCGTTTTTAATTCGCTGGTGCTGCGAAAATGTTGTGAAAGGTTAAGTTATCCAAAACACCGCATAAGAATGAAAACCAGTTTTCTCAATTTCCAGATTTGTAATGAATTGTGCTTAAATAGACGAGAAGTTTTAATAAACTGAAGCTCAAGTAAAACAGTCGAAAAAGCGTTTTCATTTGTTTTGCTATGCGTTGCGCGCCGGTTTCAGACCACCCGTATCCACAATTTCCTTGCGTGGTACATTGTGGCGAAACTCCATTGATTAACTCAGGCTTTCAGTCCTGCCTTACGGGTTGTTTGGTGAATTAATGGCGTTTTCAAAGACGAGCTAAGGATACGAGAAAAAAAGATTTATTTCACAGGAAGCGTTTTATTCTTTTTCAAAATTACATTTTTAAACATATTTTGTTGTGAGATAACATCAAAAACCCACAAAATGAAAAAGAAAATTAAACGCGTAGTAATTTTGGATATTCAAGTCATCATCATGTGTAAAGCGCTGAAGAACGAGACAACAGCGCCAGACCATTACGTAGTATCACAGAACTGAAAATGACGTGGTTTACATTGGAGAATATTAAACACGATATTTAGAGTTTTCTGGAGTAATTTTCTTACGCTATTTTAGGACAAACATCAAAAACCTTCATTGCGAGTAATCGAACGTGTGAGATTTTCTTTCACGGCATACTAAGGGAATAGCTTGGTTTGAAAGTAATTATTTCGTCTTCAGCAGGTGTACGGATGAGAACTTGCAATATCCCGCTAAGATTTTTCATTTGGAGATTTCTCGTCTGTACTTAAATGATAAATTTACGAAGGAAGTTGTTTTAGAATTTTTTAACCGCAGTTTATGTAATCGAGGTTCAAATCGATTCTGGCGCCATTCCTTCTTGGAAATTTGAGTGTGTCGCTATTCAGCTGACAAACAAAACATGGCTGAATCCCTGTCGTTTAGTACAGGACCCAATGACATTCACACAATGGTCTCCGCCATACTCCCTAACACCTTATTCGATAAAAAATTTGTATTTTGAAGTCATGAATGGTTATTCCTTTTGACAAGAACTTTCTATCGCGCTTTAAATCGTCAGATTCACCGCATTGTTGGCAGTTTTACAAGTGTTTCTAGCACGTTGCTTCCTGTCGTGGTTTGAAGCGGTCGCACGTGCTTGTTTATAAATGATGCTACCCAAAGCTTTTTCCCTGAAAAAAGTAATTACTCTGAAACCATGCTTGTAGTGGCTAAGCATAAAAGAAAATGAAGCCCTCGGGCGAGAAAATGTTAAGGAACTTTTATAACCTGGATAGTTTTACGGAAGCGAATCTCACGAAAAACGAATCATTTTCGACGCTAACAAAGCACGACACGAGATCATTTCATGAGACAAAGGCAAGTTCTGGGCAGCTGTTGTAGTATTACATGCAACCAACGTCTCCAAATAATACTCTACCTTGGAAACACTTAATTAGAACTCTTCCAATAAAACCTATTCCGTAACCTGAATAAACAAGAGGAGTCGTGTTTAGGTCTCGAAACGGAAATCTAAAATCACTATCCAAGATGACTTGGGAAATACGCAGGTATTTGGCTCCATATATCAATAAAGTTGAGGCTAACATTGTATATGAAAAAGGATTATGATTCGAAATAAAATTAATTTTTTAGGTCATCAGAGAATCGGAAATTTTTAAACAGTTGTAAGAACTTTCTTCCGAAATCGACGAAATTAAAGCTACTCGAAGTAATAAAAACAAAATTTCCAGTTTGACGTTCGGCAACAGCACTTCAGCTCAACACTTCGATAAAAAATTTCTCCAATGAATGAGAACAAAACGAGAAGTGATGCCCATCCGTCAGATATGTGAACCTCAAACGTTTAAATAACGAGCTAGAAATTTGAAAAAATTAATGACATAACACAATCTTCTCTTATAAGGTAAAGTAAGTATCACGACAAGAACGATTGAGAGCCTAAGGGCCACAATGGTCGCATATAACCTAAGTTAGCTAAATTAAGGAATTCCTCTAAGCATCACTTTGTTGGAGTAAGGAATATGATCCTATTTTTGTCAAGGTTTGTTTACTGTAACCTGCACCTAAAGTGCAGTGAAAGGATACAAGTTTTACATGCCTTTACTGTGTTGTGTGCAATTTGACAGAGTAGAAAGGAAAGATTTCGCACTATTTTTGCACATAATTTATACGCCAGCAACAAAATTATGGATAAACTTAGCAAAATGGGCTTCACCTGATAACCAGGGGAGCTGCATGAAAGTATTTCGTAATAGTGCTATACGGCTGAGAAAAATGATTGCATGCAATGCGGCTGCAGGGAGGGTTTTTTATCTCGTGCGATCGTTTCGATCGTAGCCGACTGAGAGATGCCTTCGCCCGAATCGAGAATGGCCTTGTTTTGAGAGACGAAACAGTCAGCTGTGAGGGAGAAAGAACCACATAAGCGAAACATGAAACACCTGTCAGGTCGAGAATCATAACCACTCGCTGGGGGAGATATAGAAAGATAGATTTCCACGCGAACAAAAATTTCTCAGGGCTGATTCGTTCGATAACTGAGGGTAAGAAAAAGTTCTAGAAAGGAAATATAAAGGCGAAAAAATCAGAAGAATCTTGTGGCGGTAGATTTCGTCAATATAAAAAGTGTAATCGCTTGTCGTGGTCACTAAAGAATCGACTACCAAAACAAACCGAGTTTCTTTGATGAAAGAATAATTTTTGTCGTAATGTTTCACAATTCTTAGCTGGTATTTTGGTAAGGGAATAAAAGAAGGAGATTGCTTCACTTCCTACGGCTACTAACTTTAATAGAAGATTCTTTTCAATTGATTTTTCCAAAACAAACGGAATTCATGATTATGCGAGGCAGGAGGTAACGAAGAAATATAAACAAAGTAAAATCAGTAGAAGTATATGCGTGTAATAAAATTCTATGCTTACCCAGTTAAAATATTTAGAAATATTTCCCCATATCGTCAAATAAATTTTAAGATTTGTAAAATGTTATTTCATGATTTCACACTCTCTTAGCTAGGTGAACTTTCCAATCCAATCTTCAGACGGCCATTTTGAATTTCTCCTTGGCCTTAAAAATTAAAAACAAACTTCAATCCCACTCCCGAAAGAGTGCTAGAAAGCTTATTTTTAAAATTTTTTCAGACGAACTGCAACTTGAATGATTTGGGAGGGGAAAAGGGGAGGAAGAGAGGGAAATCTCCATATCTACGCTTACGTGCAGTGGCCTTTAAACCTTAAGGCGGTTACGTACCGTACTTGAGTTGACAAGAAATGCAACTAAAAACACGAAGATAAGAAATTTGTAGCAACGCTACAAGCAGATAAAATTAGCCACCAACTTAAATATTTCATGCTAACATTTGGAAGCTACAAAATTTTAATTATGTAGGAAAACGTCTTTGAAGTAGTGGAATGATTGCTGAATGAACGCGTGTCGTTCAAAATGAAATTCCCTTAGTGAAGGTAAGAAATGTAATATTGCATCGATATTTGCATAGGTCTTCTTCTGATGCTTCAGAAATATATATATTAAAGCAAGCATATTCCATTGTTAGAGTCACACAGAAATAAGAATCCATTTTACTACGGGCGTTTTTTCTCGTAAATTGAAAAGCTCATCGAGTGAGTGTCAGAGAGTGCAATAAAAATCAAGTAACCTGTACTCAATCATCTCGTCAACATGACATAATAAAGAGAGGAACTTATACTTGTCTCAAGGACAAACAAACGAAAGTCTAAAATTAAAATTCTCTTGCAGAAGTTAACTAAATTTATGAAACATTTTATCCGGCGCTTTTATATTCTGTTCCCCTTTAAGGTTAACTTGTTGCGTCTTGCTGAACACAATTCTGTCGTTCTGAAATTAATTATTACAATTTTCAGTCTCGGTCTCTTCTGCTGGTTCTATTGACTGTTGAATGCTTAAAAGCTAGTAAACTTTAAACAAGTAAAGATCAGAATTATGAAATTTTAAAGTGTTCAAGGATTTTATTTATTGATGTAGAAAGGTAAGCCGCAAAGCGACAGAACAAAACAAGATGTTTTATCACTTGAGATTCGCTGGTGAAGACTCTTACGATGAAGGAATCTTGGAAATGATCAGGGCGATACCCGAATCTTTCAACTTTGTCTCACCTTCCTAATTCCAACATAAAATTTCGGCGCCGACGACTCCTAATTAGCTATACATGATCTGAGCTTTATTGCGATGAATTGTGAAGGGTTCCTCACTCAATCCAAGCGTCGATAACAGAAGAACTATGAGGATACCGAAAATATTATTTACACGGCAACTCAGCTAGCAAAGTTCTCGAGAAGGTAAGAATTTCATGACGAAGAAGTTCATCTCAAAATTCCGAATTTTGCCTATATCCTGTAGTAAATATGCTTTAATAAGAAACTATTGTCAAAAAATAACGATAGCGTCTTGTTTCTGTCAGTGTGAAAAGAGTCGGTTGTTAATCGCTAGCATTTGTTAATCAGAAATTCTGCTCGCGTCAATTTCTAAACTAAACGTAAATTTTGCACAGAATGCCTGATAATGAAGTGAAAACACCTTGAAAGAAAAATGACATGGTAATGAAGTGCGCAATGCTGCAGTCTTCATTCGCATTTTAAGAAATTCTCTTTTAGATGGCAAACACAATATTCATCGAGGCCTTCTACCTATCCGATTTAAGTGGCAGATCGAGTCAATATGGTGTGTTTCACCAAATACGATCGGTAATAAATTCCGATTGTCCTAGTTTGCTAGCATGGATCGACCGAAAATATATCTTTCACTCAAGAGGATAAGATATCGAGGTTTTTCCTGTGAAAATTATTTCAGTGTGGAGTATTAAAATTTGAATAAAAGGCTAGTTTAGAAAGGTATCGTGTACGTGCACCGATCAATATCGAAAAACAAAATGAAGAACGCAATGGCTGAGAAAACTGTTCAATCTAATGAAAAGTTCTTGAGGGAAAATAAGAGCATATCACCTGATGCTTTAGACCAGAAATAGTAAATATTCACCACCACCTGTCATGCTTTAGCCTGTTCTGAGAAAATTTGAATTATAACAGCGTATAGTACTGCCTCGAGCTTTAAACATGGAACAAGTAGAGCACGTAATCAAACTTAGAAAACGCTACAAGAAAAATGATTACAGAAAATGGAGAAGAATGGAGCATTTACATGTACTATACTCTTTGTCAACGCTCGATATTAACGTAAAAACGCAATTTGTTGAAAGTATATGAAAGCCTTTCAAGCTGGCCCGCTAATGCAATGTTGTTGGAAGCTATTTAGGATTATTCTGTCAATTTCCTACAACAAATAATGTCTAATTTCTGCCCTTAAGTCGTCGACGAATTAAGATCTGTATTCAAAAGAACGCTCAGAAATTCAGTAAGAGATAGTAGGCTTGAGTAATACCTGTTGTATAGACTAATCGGCCACCAAATAGCAAAGCATAAAGCCACCTGCGTTGCGAAACAATTTCACGTGCTTTCGTTTAAAATCTCCGGGTAGTTGAAAATTCATCTCGTGAAATAAGTTTATTTGCCTGTTTCGTTTTGTCCAATACAGCATCGGTCTAAAAACTTAGAAGGAATTCCTTAAGATGTGGATGACAACTAGCGTGGCGGTTTTCTTTTTTATCCTTCCATGGTTTTAGAATTCATACAACAGTAAATCTCAAACGTTGATCAATATTTCTAATTACTGCACATGTTCAAAAACAGGTCGGGATGCAGATACATGCAAACGTTTCACGTTCTTTCAAGCTTGACTGTCAATAGAATTTCACACCGTTAGGTTCAGTCGATATAAAACAGCGAACAGATGTGTCCTTTGCGCTGACAAATTTTAAAATAATACTCGAACTCTGACGGAATTTACGTAGCTAGGAAATTCCACATGATGTCGGAATGCGTATGTTTATGACTTAATCTTCATCGCAACGAATTTTACCCAAACTGCGCTTGCTATTACTCAGCCAAATCCAGTTTCACAGATTGTAAGCTTCTACTTCGTTTATATTCAACGGTGAAGCAGCAGCATAGGACATAGAGCCTAGCTAATCGCTCCTACTCAATAATCTCGCCACGTTTTTTGACGTTATTTTGTCTCCTTTCTTCGCGTCATCAAAAGTAGGTTTTCCATAGGTTTACTGAAGAGCATCATTAACCGATGTCTTTCATTGATGATCAAACTTTCTTCATAATAACAAATCACATACCAAACCACAAAATCAATGATTTGGGCCCTTCTACATATTATCAATCGAAAGCGTTGCCAGTAGAACATGAAAAGTTTAACTTTAGTACTCCAAAATATATAAATTTGGCAGATGCAGCTGTGAATATGATGTAGACAAGAAAAGCTGCATTTTTATTTGTCTGCATTTGATATGTTCTAGGCCAACATTTCCGTCATAGTGGTTTCAGAGGCCAAAGGATGTTCCTTACACCTTTCCTACATAATTTGGATCTCTCTTTCTTTTGTTTTTTCATTTTTTTGTTCCTTCATGCGGTTTTCTTAGACAATAGCCGAAGTTAAGAATTATGCAAATAGCAAACCTTGTGTCATTCAGGTGTTACAGAATATGTACCATGTCCAATATTCAGAAACGTTTCCTGGCATCGTCTTTGGGGAAACGTTTGTAGTTGGATTTGAATTATTCTGGACAAGACTGAGAAAAACTCTCTACTGAAATTAGATGTAATAAATTATTTTCATCTTTGTTGTCTCGAGCATTGATTTATGACCTTTGAACACAGTGTTTCTCGAAAATGAGAGTAGAGAGAGAAAACGAGTAAGGACAAAAGCTCTCGACAAATCAGTGTGCCGGTCGAAAGTCTCTATGATAACTATATTTGACATAATCTTTTCAGCGACACCTACTTTAAGTCTGTTCCATCATTTTCCATCGTATTCACTTCCTCTAGTTTTGCTAACCTCCCCCCCCCCACCCAACTCACACCCCAATTACAATGTTCGTCTACATACATAGAGCGGTATAAATGTTAGGGTATGGGGTAAAGGTGAATATGGGAAACTTTTTATTTTTTTTGTTACATTTGAGCTTAAAAAGGGACTTGTCCCATACATCTTGAAAAGGGGAAGTAGCATTTTCCAAAATTGTTTTCAAAACAACAATCATATTAAGTGAAACTTGGAAATCGCATGAAATCATTTGACACACTAATAACAACTTCATAACTCATTTCTTATGCTTTTACATTTCTCAATACTCTGACTCCTAAAAGTTTACTATTCCTTTTCCTACAATAAAAATGGATCAATAGAATTGTAATTGATTGTAATGTACAGTTAGTGAACCGAGTTCCTATCCTACAGTGAGCTGTAAATATAAAAATTAATGACAGAGGGTAATAATTACAAAATTGATGATGTAGAATTTAAAAAAAACCTACATCTGAAGTAAAAATGTTTTTAAAACATGTATTAAAATCCTCACGAAAATTTTCTTGGGAAAAAGATTCTAATTTCTAGCTTATACATTTTTCCTCAAAAACAGGATTAAAACTATTCCTGAAGTTGTGTACAAGTGCCAGATAGTCTACATACGAACATATTCCACAGTAGTACCTATTACATATGAAACTAAATCTTGAAAGACCTAAAACTTGCGGAGGCGAGTTTCAGTAGTATTGTTTTATTGCGGTCTTTGCAAAAAACCATGGGAAGTTATTTACCTCATGTACTTTTAGCAAATTATTAAAACTATTTTCAACCATGATGGAACATTGGGCTCATTGAAAAATTGGTAGATAACCAGATCATTCTACAGGATACAACCAGTCACATTTTCTGCGCAGCTGCAAAGTTCATATTTATACCCCTGTGACTGCGAGAGTATGTGGAGATTCAAGTTACTGACCTCAAAATTTTGTCTTACATAGCGGAACAGTCACTAAAAGTGGTTTGTGTCTTTGACCGGAAGTTATTTCTCATTTGGCTAGTACGCTTTATATTTTGGTTTTTTCATAAAATAGATAACTTAATTATGAGCCTGTCTATATCTCTGAGTGGTAAGAAAACTTTGATATTTGATTGCAGTTGTACAAGTTAGCTTTTTATGATAAATCTGGTTGCTATACATATATAATATGTTTGTAATTCTGTATGTTTTAAGGCCATTTTATGTTAGCACGTACGTATTTTGAACGAGCTTTCCAGCTCACTAAACGCTAGTGGTTAAATAAACGACTGATCAATGATTAATCGATTGATTGATTGATTGATTGATTGATTTAAACAAAAATGATCTTGAATTAACTACTCTTATCATCTCTCATGCACGGTAACCGCTAGTTGAGTACATCTGGCTACTTGATTTTGTTTAAATCTTTTCTTAACACAGACCTTAAGCCTCTGAGATAGGTTCTACGTAGTGTTAGATTGGAACATGGCACGAGCACAAGCTCGCGTTATTTTGGCGGGAAAAAAAGCGATAACCGTCAATATTTAAAGACGTATTTGTGCCAATATGGCGTAGATTCCAATACTTTAGCGGTATTTCTAGCTTTTCATTCAAGACAGGGCTCAGTTATAACAATGGGAAAGCTTCATCATCCACAAGTTTAAGATATTTATTTAATCAGTTTGCTCAACGGTGAAAAAAAAAAGAACCTACAAAGATTTGCCTCGCTCCGAAGATGTAGCTACGTATAGTAAGGAGATACGGACTCTCCCTGCGTATACATAAGCTAGACTCTGAGCTGGAGCTTATCGATATCATAGCTGAAGAATAAGTTAACTGCAATCAGTCAGAGATATCTAGTGCAGTGCTGATTCGTATGCAGAGCGTCGAGAAGTTGTCCTACACAAGCGTTATAATCATTGGTTAATATATAGTCATGAATTCTACTCTCCTCTGCCGGAATAACCAGGTAACACCGTGTCATCGATCAAGCAACAACGTCTTTGTTTTCTAACTTATATACAAATTCACCAATTGTCATCATATATTCAGAGCAAATAAACGAAAAATAAACACAACATATCACCATATTCCACACATGTTATGAAAAAGATTAATTCAACATAATATCGACATGAGTAAGTTTTCTGTGATATGTTCTGAAAGACCTGACAGTTATTCTACGTAGCAAACACACTTCTCCTATTCAATGAATTTAGCAATTGCTTCGGTAGAACCATGCTCCGGCAGTGAAAAAATTTGAAGCTGCTCAAAACATCAAATGTTTAAGGAAAGGATAGGGTCAAGCTAAGGGCTAAGTCTTTGATGTAAGCCTTCCTCGCCAATTTATTTTAGATCTCTCCCGTTTTCAGAGATGTCAGCAGGGTCTGGAAACAACCAGAGTTGTATTGCAACTTTTTGCTCATACGGACTCGCATGCGCTGTCTAAACTTTCGTTCTACACCTTAAGATTCGAGCAAAGTGATTATATGTAACATAACAGCAATTTTCAATCGGTAATCGAAATTAATCCGGGATTGCATTGGTTTTGCTTCACTTCACTATGTGATTTGTTCAGAAAACTCGTGCTCCATCATCTCAACCAATCAGATTCAAAACTTAAACCAGCCCAGTTTGATCACTCGCATTGTCGCACGCTTCGAGTAGTTTGCTTGTTCTCACAATACCACCTCATTTAGATACTTTCCTTTCTTTCAATTGGCCTTTGTTACTACTTTGGTTTATTTAATGTTCCGATATCCAATAAAAATGCGTTCTCTGTACCCGCGTATAAGGGAGAATAGCCATGAGCCTCAAAAAATAAAAAAACAAAAAAAAACCGGGAGGCGTAACTTTTGAAATAAGACCTAAAGAGGGGTGTCACTCCCTTAGAATGACGGTCTCTCCCTCCCTCCCTCTCCCTCCCTCTCCCTCCCTCTCCCTCCCTCTCCCTCCCTCTCCCTCCCTCTCTTTCATTTTCTCTCTCTTGATGGTGCGCTATGATAAAGTTTGGTGTAAAGAAAGTCCCTCAAAGAGAATTCGCACCTTTGAGGCTAGGATGCAGATCACTTCTCTATCACTGAGCCACATGCGACTTGTGAGCTGAAATTTCTGATCCTTACAATAAAATACGGTTCAAGTCATTGCAGATTTCCTGTATCTTAGGAGCAAAGTAGCAGGTATACGGGGAGGGGAATGGCAACAAATCAGATCCAACTGATGTTTCGATCGAAACATCACCGACAGGCAACATATTCGTCAGCTGACAAACTAATATCGTATCGGCTAGGGCACCATAAAGTTTGTCAAGGGGTGGTTTTTCCCGCTCCACGTAAATTTTCTACTTTTCTTTAGTTTACTAGAATCAATTCCTCATAGCTTGAAAGACTCTTTCCTACTGTGTTAATCCTGAGTATTGCTTTTCTTTTCAATCAAAGAAATATATATATAAAAAAAGAATTGAGTTCCTCAAGGCACACTCATAGGCATTACTAAGTTGGTAAGAGTTTAATTTTCAAAAATCTAAAAAATCTCAAACCCCTTTCTCCCAAGAAGTGCCTCAGACTTTTTTTTCAGTGTGGAGTGAAAGGTTACCACAGCCAAGGCAGTCACCAATCAAAAACATTATAAAAGTTTGCGCTCCGTCAAACGAACTCGTTAACCTTCGAGTTGAAGGAATGATCCGCACAATTACTCAGGTTTACATGAAATGTTCTTTTTATCGCCACCGGCACGCTACTCAAAAACTCCAGCATTATATTATATTTCTCTGCCTCGAAATATCGTTTACCAGTTGATGAAATATTTTTTTTTGACTCGCAAGAAAAGTATTCCTTGGAGAAATACGTGCTAAAGAAATAAGAATGGAACCCTATTTATGGAGTGTGAGTCCTATCATCTCAGTATAATTCACTTCATTTCGGCCAAAGTGCGAAAAAGGATATAGCGGAATGACTGAAAGTTATTTTGAGTTTTTCTAATAGCCACTTCACGAGTAAGATGCTTTCTATCCATCGATGATAAAAAGATGATGATGAACACGTGGAAAACTTAGTTTTCTATGTTATGATCATAAACGTGGCGTGAAGGGTTACCACAGCCAAGGCAGTTACCAATCAAAAACATGCAAAGAGTTTGCGCTCCGTTAAACAAACTCGTTGACCTTCGAGTTAAAGGACTAATCTCACAATTACTCAGGGGATTAAAGAGATGCACATGCTGTTATTCGTTGACTTTACGTACCGTCTTAACGAATTCACCTTTCCAGGCGAGGTTATTTCTTTTTTGTAGCGTTAGTCAAAGAAAAAAGGTTTCAAAAAAACGCGGTTTGAAGTTGGAAAAAAACAAATTTTAGTTACTCTGATCATCATCTAAATAATGATAATTACACAATTGTACTCTAATTGCAGAATGGTAATAATTTCACCATGGGAGGAGATTCCGAACCACCTTAGATTTTTCATATGATCCGTATGATTAAGGGGGCTCTGATTTCCTGCCACTTAAATTTGTATCGCATATCTTTGGTCATGATAAGTAGATAGGCTCACCGAAGAAAGTTCAAGAGCCTTCCTGGTAACTCGCCAAAACAGCCGGCTAGTTTTTTAGTTGCTAGAAAGAAAACGTTTCTTTCTCTTGGCGTCTTAAAGGTCCACAGGTTTACATAAAATGTTTCTTTTATCGTAACCACCACGCTGCTCAAAAACTGTAAAATCTGCTGCATTGTGTCAACCTCAACTGACAATTTTAGAAACAAAATATTTATACCTCGGAATATCATTTACAAGTCAATGACATATTTTTTATAACTCGTAAGAAAAGAATTCTTTGGCGAAATTGGTGCTAAAGAAATAAGAATGGAACCCTATTTCTGATTTCCCTATTAAAAACTTTTCTCATTGTCTTGTACTTGCGTAGTCTTAGCTATTCATATCTGTCATTTTAAAAGACATTCGAGAGACTAAGTTTGTAAATATTCTGGCACCTGTCTCGTAAAACTAGATCGCCAGAGGACGTATTCTTTACTACTTTACACCCTAACATCAATGTTCACACTCTCAATACTGTTCTCTACACATTTTCTATGGTACTGATTAGGAGAATTTGCGTAACAATCAGAAGCTTCAGTTTCTTGGCGATTATTTCCTAGTTTCTCGTAACCTTAATGTTTAGTTCAGCATTTACACTTCAAGTGGTTAAAGTGCTAAGTATAAAAAAGTAAGTGAACAGAGTACGACGAGGCATGAATTTAAAATGAATAGCCGTCAAGACGATTCCATTTTTTTGTTTTAGATTTAATCTCAAATATGATAACCATGATAATCATAATACTTGGTTTTGTCTTGTTATGTTTTGTATCCTTTATTTATTTTTTTTTTCAGGTGCAGCGGTACTTTCTCCCGATTTATTCAATTCTGATAGAGTACAGACATTGCACCGGACTTGTTCAAGCGAGTAAAGAGCGTTGTGGAAGACGTTTTTTAAAATGATCTCAAACTGTTTTTAAAACCCCGTTATTCTTACAGAAAAACAAATATTGAATAGAAAAACGCAAACTGGGGTGGAGGGGAGATACTTTTCGTTAGCGATGTTAAAGAAATTCTTTTCCCGTGAACGTCCCATACAATCCTCATATTAGTGTTAGTCGTTGAAATTCGTTTAGCGTATCAAAACCAAAATGTGACTGAAAGAATGAGGAATAAACCTTCTTTTCCTTTCAAGTAAACTTTAACAGAGGAGGTAAGAATCTATTAAAGTAATGATCAAAACAGAATAAAAAATAAAACGAGGGCTAAAAAAAGTGTAGTGACTGACTAACCAAAACCTCTCTGAACTGACGCAGTGTTACTTCTTTAAGGAATACCTTCGGAAATGTAAACGTTTCCCCCAAATAGAGGCGCCCTTTCGATGAAGGTAACCGATACAACGATGAAAGGAACCTTTTTCTATTCGGAGGAGGCGTTCCCTGAATAAGGAAGTTAACTAAAGGACGTGGATCGAAAGTTGTGTAGTGTAGTTTCAATTTGGCAATGTCTAAGTAATTTCTTAGAGTAACTGATGTTCCAAACATTTCCAACAAAAAATATAGGGCTAACTCTTTTATTTACATGCATGTCATGTTTGCCAGCAAAACCCAAGTTACCCTATTAGAACCCGCTATCCTTAAATAATGCAATCTGAAATCTAAATTTACAATAAAAAAAACATAGCTATAATTAACAACTTTGAATAGCACACTTGTCTATCTTTGTAATGTGAAAATACGAAATTCATCTCCATAACTCAATCACAAATCAATTTTTAAGTTAAGAAAATCATTTGACGCATCATTCCGATTTTTAGAACTGTAAAAGACCTCGTGTACAGTAGAATTATTTAACTCTAGTATGCTTACCATTTCAACGGAGAAACTGAAACGATTTTAATCTTTCCCTACTACAATGAAGTTAAGTTCAGCGTACCTGAACTTAACTTCATTGGAACTGACTTAAGTTTTTAAACACGGCCATAATCATCGAGGAAAAGAAAACGTTTGGTATTAGTATGAATATTTTGCTTCTCTTTCGGTGCATTTTTATAGTTTTAATCGGATATGATAATTTTCATTAACTCCAATTTTTCGCATATCAATTGATCTGTTTGTCCTTGAAATGTCAGCCTTTTAGGCTTATCTTCCTCTAGATATTCTTACACCCTTTAAATGAAAAATTAATTGCTCCAAAATGGTTTTACAGAAGAAGTTATATCTTAGAAGAATTAGTTGAATCTTGGGTTATACCTTGAGAAGAGAAACTAATGTTTTTATTTAAGGCGACTTCAAACACCGAGCCGAATGAATAATTAACGAAAAACTAAGACTATTTCGGCAAAAATTTATATATGGTTTCATAGGTGAAGTTTAACAAACCCCGCCGAGTGGAATTACTGTATATTTACTTCATTACTAAGGAAATTTTCCAAACACGGAAATTAGTGGTTGATTCAGACCATCGAATTAATAGTCAACATTATTATCAGAAGCTGATATACAGCCGATCAAAACAGCTTTGCATGTATGTAAACTTCAGTTGTCAATGGTCGTGTTAATACTCCGCTATCCTGTTACCCGCTCCACCTTATTTTTTTAAAATGCATAGCATTGTGTTCTTGTTTTATTAATTTTTTTTTCACGCGATGGCATTTCCGCGTCGGGTGTAGAAGATTCCAAAGGACCTGCGCTCCATCAATACTGATCCAATTTCGTTTTCTGTATCTCAAACAGAAGAACTTGAAATTACCGTTGAAGTTAATTTTTAGAAACAACATCAAGCCTTTACAATCAATCGCTGGATGCCATGATTCAAATGTATCTATTTTGACCGTAACGACGGTTATTAAAAAAATTGAAAAGTTTGGAGAGAAAAACAGCCATGTAACTTTAAAGAAACGAATGGATTTCACTTTTTCCTTAGGATTACAAATATTCATACGGATAAAGTCTTCGAAATGACAACAAAATTCCAGAAAACTTTTAATTGGAGTTTTACTTTTTTCTCTTTTTTTTTGGAGGTGGGGGTGCATTTTTGTAACGATTTTGAAATTTCCGGTGCATTTGAGATGAATTTTTTTGTTCTTTACTTAATTAAGGGAAGGTGTTTAGTGCTTCTCAGAATGTGGGAGACTCAATGAATTTGTAATATTGACCTATTTACACAGTCAACTTAATAACTGCCAATGGATGCCATATGCACTGCTAAAAGCAACAAACCTCCCATTATGTTTTAAATTTTTGATAACTTTCAAAACCGTTTTTGCATCTTAAACAGTTAACTAGAAAAAATTGTTTCTTCGGTTTTCTTTGTCTTTTTAACTTTAATTTTATTTTTCCTCGTACTATCCTTAGGTAGTCAATATATAGAAACGAGATTTTATATTATTATAATGTTCTACACTCTACGAACGCAAAACGATCAATTCATATTAACAAAAACTCTGAATGGGTATGAGATTCATTAACCATTCACGGAAAACATCGGGGTTGTTAAGATAGAAAAAGCAATACGTACATCTCGTATTTATGTTGCTTAGGCTCAAAAATCTCTCCTCACTGAGTAAAGATGATCCAGCCCTTTAGTTTTAACTTCGTCTTATTGTAGATGATCGCATTTTGGGGCGGAGTTCATTTTAGCTCGATTTCATAGAATCAGCCATGCGACTTTTCAAGGTAATAGAGATAGCCTGGTTTTTCCCTTAGTTAACTCCCTATTTAGAGACTTGGGAAAAATCATAATTCTCCACTAACCTCCTAACCTGAGATGACCCTCCATGACCTGGAAATACCAGTTTTTAAATCGCAAGTTCTCCCGTTAAAATCCTCCTTTTGGTAATCATGGCCTGACGTAAAATATCAACCCATATCAGCTCCGGGCAATCGTCCTGAATCAAAGATTCGCTTTTTACTCTCGCCATACCCTTTAAAAAGTGCCTTTCCTGGTAACCATGAAAAAATGAGCGACATGTTCCATACATTTGTCCTTAATTTGGACTGTGGTGTTCGAACTTTTTTTGGCGGCGAACGGATTTCGCCTTCTGCTCGTGCGGGTGGTTACGGAGGGAAGTAGGCAAAACATTATTAAAAATTTGTGAGTAATGGCTTTTTGTGAGCCTTTGCGAGTATAAAAAATTAACGCGTGCTGTCTAGTTTTTATGGCAGACAAACACACCTGTATAAATTGTGAATGAAATTCGACTCCAGTTCCTAACAGTTTTTTCAAACAAATAAAACTTGAAAGCAAACGAACACTAGGTCAAATTTTTTTGAAATGCCTGCTCAGATCATCAAACCGCATTGACAAATTTTGTCTTTGGTCTGGTTTTAGTGCATTTTGGTCATCTTTGATCTCTGTTTCGCGACGGGCTGTGTAATTGTGTACTCAAAGTGAAAAGTTTAGAATCATTTGCTCATAATAAATGATTAAAGGGCACCTGTTGTATAAGAAATTGTGAATAAATTTTGAAGGATACTATGTGACAAGGGAGTGATCTCTGCTTAGTGAAACTAAACCCAATTTGACTTTTCTCTGCCCCCATTTAGAATAAGCCTCACAGGTGTATTAATGATTACTTCGATTTCGTGGCTTCCCATAGTCGGTTCATGTTGTTCTAATTCTTTCACCGCAACGTATTATTGCTTATTAAATAATAATGATTTTCAATTCTTCGTTCTGCCGTGCTGAAGAATTATCTTCAATTTGAGAGATTTCAGGCCACTACACGAGCTTTTACGTTGTTGAAATCGCCCATCTACTTCTGGTCAAACTTCGCCTCAATCTTTCCTAATATCCCCAAGTTTTAACAGTGTAAAAATAAAATTTAATACAGATTCGTTAAATAGACATGCATGTATATTTTTTTCATGTTTTCATTGTTTATCAACGAGACTGTAGCAAGATACGAATGAAGATTCATCCAAATATAATTACGCGCTTCCCGCTCGAGTTTCGCCGCTAAATAGATCTCTTAGTGTTAAAAAAAATTCCCTTGTTCCTCATTGTTAAAAATAGATAAAAGTTTCCACGGGAAGATTACGCGATTTCCATTGCACAATTAGTTTGCAAGAAACTTTTCCCTGAGTTATTTTCGATTCGATTTTGGGCTTGTAAGCCGTAAAGCAACGTCTTCAGTCATCCCAAAAATTGAAAAACGCCAAATATTCCGAAATTCTTCGTTTTCTTGCACAAAAATTGAAACTTGTTTGATCGAGACACATAAATTATCCATTTCTGCGTATTCTTCAATATTTTAACCAAAAAATGAGGCTTCATCTCATCATGGTTAAACATTTTTCATTCGTCATAATAAAATAATATAAAGTCGCGTACAGTGTGTTTAATATGCATCGTCGTGTCAACAACACAGCTCACCTGGATAGGAAACTGAGGCATCTTTCTGTAATTTTTTTTTATACACAATAACATATTACTTGTTATATGCTTCTAACAAGGTCCATACACTAGATCCGTTACAACTGCATCCGTTCCTATCAAAAATAGTGCCAGATTTTTTTTTATTTTATTTCAGCAAATTTTATGCTACAAGTTCTGTCCTACAAACATGTCTGTGCAGTTTTGAAGACCCAGTTCTCATAGACTTTCTGCGATTCATGAGGAAAGTTTTAATGGAGGTAATTTGTTTAAAACGATATTTGTTAAACCTCTGCGTCTGAATTCGTTTTTTGCTGTCTCACATTAAACCAAAAACGACTTTGAATACTTGTGTTCTTAATGCCATTTAGTTCAAGTGATTTGAGTTTTTACCCATAGTGTGTAGTCAGGGAGCAAATGATCACGAGGAAAGATGGACTTACTCAGACGATTACGTTCGGTCAAAGAAATTTTTTTATTCTATTTTTGGACTGGAATTACTTGGAGCCGTCTGCTTTCACGCAGAGCCTTCTCTAGAAGTAAGTCAGACTAATTAAACGATGAAATGTTGGTCCGTGCTGCAGGATCGAAAAATACAGCAACGCTTATCAAGTTTTTCTCCCAGTCAATCCTGGTTTGAGTTTGAGCACGTTATATAGTAGACTACAAAAAGTAGCGGAAGTGAATCACACGCCTTTTGTGTACAACCGAACGAAACAGATTAAAATTTTCATTCCGCAAATAATGTGATTTTAGAATAGGTGTCTAAACGGGTTCTCGAAACTCATAAATTAGTGAAAACCATGGCTCTTAAGGATTGCCTCACGAATGGAAATAGGTAAATAAGACCATTAGAAAATAATGGTTGAATTCCTTTCGTTTGTAACAGACTTATTTGTGAAGGTCAGAAATTAAGTGCTCTCCGCTCGAATAAAACAGCCGCCAAACGGTGAAAATTGAAGACAAATATTCATTGGAAGATAAAAAGCGCGCGAAATGGTGTGGATTGCTCGGTCCCAGGACCGCGAAATGCAATGGCGCTCGTCGATTGTTATCAGAAGGGAGCTGCCATGTTTTTGTAATCTGACGAAACGTGAGGGTGACCGCCCATTTATTCCTCTGTTTTAGACGAAATTACATATAAAATCGACTTTTGAGTACTCTTCCGGTGATATGAAAGAATGTGGAATATTCTTAATTTTGGCCATCGTTAGTGCTAGAGGTCAAACGCTTCGAGCAAAAGGAGATCTTTAACTCCGGCTCACTATAATATTACAATCAGCCAGATTCTTATAGAATTATCTGTTTTATGGCTTACATGAATCGCATTGTGTTATCTCCGCCAAATTCTGTTGAAGCAAGGTACGGACAGCATAAAAATTGGTTGACTCACATCTTTCAATTGTTTAATGATAGCTTGGTGTTCAAATCTTGAGTGAAAAATGATCAGTCACGTGAACTTTTGGGCAAGTAAGGATCGATATCTTTTAAGTTTTAACATATTTCCGGTCGTTCCAAAAATAGGGAAATGAATACATCGTCATAAAAATTTTCTTTTAGTGTCTTTAAGCCTCATTCACAGAGCAGGAAATTTTCGTTCATGGGTAAATCCAAGAATTGTTTGATGGGGCGTTGGGGTTGGGAAGAGTGGAAACTATGATTCAGGAAGCCTTTTTTCAACGTTGGAGCTAAAAAAGAATCCAGAAATATTTCAAGACGACTTAACTTTAAATACTTCATATAGAGTAATAGAATTCGATCTTGTCGTTGTGAAATCTTGGTGTTGGACGAGAAGTAGGAAAAAGCCCCTCAATCAACTCTTAAGGACACCTCTACAAACTAGGGATCATCCACAGAAATGTTCGAAAGCTACTCGGGAGACTTTCGAACATCTTCAGATGTGACCGGGTTCGTAACGATAGCACTCTGATGATAAAAATGTCTATTGGTAGGTCAAAGTTTAAAGCAACAACACTGCTAAATCACTGGTCACAATCGAGTAGGGAGAAAACAGACCATAACAGAAAAATGAAATGAAAAAAGGGGTAAAGATACGGAAATAAGTTGGAGAGACCCTTAACTTTAAAGGCAGAAAAACTGGAAGAGCGGTACGAAAATAAACAGGTGCGTAAGGCATGCCACCTTCATACCATCTGAGGGAAGATAAAGGGTCGAACTCTTCATGAACATGTTGTAAAGAATCAATACGCTGAAATTCTTTCTTGTTTAATGACCTTCGTCAATAAAATTACAAAATGCCTTTCTAGCCTTTGCTTTAAACATAAAGCATTCTTTAAGCATGACCTAATGAACATACAGTTATATCCGGACATTAACAGTTGTAAAAACCTTATCACAAAAAAGATTCAAATTTAAATCCTACAAGGGCTTTGGAGAGAAAATCAACATATTCTTTAATAGACAGGAGGAAAAATAGACTTTGATTTCTTGGTTTTGCATCTGTTAAATGGTAATTCATGATTCTTCCCAACCTTTCAGCTGAATTTGAACTGTGATGAAGGTGCTCTGAGATAGACTTCAACACAGAATCACTTAAGGGTTAGCATAATTTAGCAGAAATTGTGAGAGAAGCGTTCATTACATTAAACAAAAATGAACCCACTAAAAAGGCGGGGAAGAGAGAAGGGGAAGAGAATTGTAGCCTCTCCATTTAGTTACACTACTGTAGAAAAGTTCATTCTCAAACATGGTAGCCTTAAAGTTCATGGCTAACTAGTGTTGAGAAAATGGTGTTCCATCCAAACAATACCCATTGTTTGATCATCTCCTTACTCCTTATTTGCTTTCTGTGAGACAATTTGTCAACATGAGGAAAATATCTGTAATGATCCCTCCTATGAGAAAAGGAGTAACCCTTTACTTCCTAGAAGTCATCAACATGCAATTTTCCTGCAATTCCCAGATGTTACCTCACAAACAAGATATGAGAACAAACAAACTTATCAGTCAAAAAGGTTATATCATGACATCACACCAAATTCTCCCATCTAGTTAACTAGAAAATATATGGATTTCAGTGGAGAGAATTACCCATTGTATCTTGGGCATTAAAAGATCACACCAATGTAAACCAATTTGTCTATCATACCAGTAAAAGTTCATTGATACCCTGCAGCTCAGCTAAACAAATTAAAGTTGCTAAGAACAAGTTTGTAACACTAATCATATGATAAGGTTTTCAAATTACTCTCAAAAATTTCAACAGTGACTTCAAGTACAAGCCAGAATCTGTAAATATATTTAGTATAAGTTACAAGAAAATCACCCCTCCTTAATTTACTATCACCATAGAGTACCAGACCATTCTTGGAGGGGTTTCGTGATATTTTGATGTTAGTGAACTAAAGACCCGTTTTTTTTTAATCTACAGGACATTACAGGGACTCTCTCCAAGTCACTCCTGAGCCTCAGAAAGGCCAGAAATCAATGTGCTCTTCTAATGCCATAATTCTCAGCTACAATAACTTTGCTGTTGTTGCAAGGTCAACAAAAAACTGAACAAAACTTCTAACAGTAACTATTGCAATCAATTACGCTGCTTCACAAACTCAAAATTTCTTAGAAATAAAATGCATATGGAAAGAGATATTCACTGGATATTTTTGCTTAATCAAGTAAATCGTTAAGAACAATAAACTACAAAACATAGCACATTCAAACAAAATTTGAACTCTGTTAATTTAAATCTGGCTTATTTTATAACAGCTTGATAACAATGCATATATGTCTACTGACGTTTAATTTTGAAGGTTGTGTGGGCATGGAAGTGATTGTAATTGTCACAAAATCAACACAACAGTTAAATGACTTGTCTTTTAGACTGACACAGTTATCCTTCTTTTAAAGAAGTTGTCAGGTTTAACCTAACTATAATCTACTGAATACACATATTCATAAAATATTAATAACTTAATCTTTTAGTGTTCATAAATGAACTGGAATGAAGTCTACTTTGAGTCATTAATATAAATGTAGTGGAAAATAATAAAACACAACCAGTGTATTTGCATAAAAAAATTATTGTGATTTGGATAAGAAAACCTTGTTCCCTGGGAGGTAACACTATATGAGTTTCAAATATCATTCAACTGTTACAAGTAGTTGTTCAAAATGAAAAAGTGACCTTAGTTTTTGCAGAGGATTTTTTAAAACAATTATGGCAGTACTATTAGGAGCTCAATCATTTTGGTAGATTGATAAGTTGGATCAATGTTAGTATCTTAGCTCCTGTCCACCCTTCCCCCCTCCCCTAACCCTACAACAGTCAACTGATAACAACTTAGAATCTTGATGTTAGGTTTGGGGAGGAGTAGGTGGTGCACAGTTGCTCTGATACCGACATTGATCTGATAAGTGTAAAAGATTTTTGTTGATGTTAGGTACAAACTAAGTAAGATGTTTGAAAAACATTTTTTTCTTTGATGAGTATGTCACCATAACATACTAAAACCATTGTAGACTAAGATAATAGAATTTACCACTCAGGATTCAGACAACTAGCAAAAATTTCCCCTTCACTTTCTGCTAATAAAACTATGTCATCAAGAGTCAAAATCTTTTGATTTTGCTACATGTCAACAAAATAATTTTGCATGAAACGAATCAGTTTGTTATGTTACCAAAAAAATAACATATGATGAAAGAGGCTGTTATATTTCTCTTCTTACACAAACACAATTCACTAAATTTTAAAAAAATTATTTCAAATTAATTTACCTCAGGCATACCCACAATTCATGAAATAATGTTGTTCTTCTAAAGGTCCAAAATAGTCCAGAGAGAAATGTTTGAATTATTCAATTCTTCAGATTGTTTGTTAAAGTGATGATGTTGAGGGAAAAAAATTAAACACAAACAGAAGGAACTCTGTGAATTAATAAGGATAATCAACATATTCTGGTGAATGATTGTCATTAACTCTCTAGCTGTTACTTTCTAAATTGATTTTTTTTCCTCTCCCTCTTTACTTCATTTCAATACTGTACATGCTCATCTAAAAAAATACACATCATCTTTACAAATAAAAACCACTTAATCCTACTTTGCAGCACTATTAATGTATAACTTTTTTCAATAACTTAATAAGTAAATAATATATACAACATTAATAAAAGCATGATTTACAATAAATTAAAATTATGAAATAACTCCTCTCACCTGGTAAAAAAACTCACATTGTGCTTTCACATGATATGAAAAAAGATTCTTAAAGAATGAAGTGGTGGTGCAATCAATTAATTTTTTTCTCCTCTTTATCCTCCTCTTCAGCATCTGGGAACTCATCTGAGTCAAGTCTTGGCTTCTTGGCAGTGGTTTCGTCTTCATTATCTACCTCAATTTCTGACTTTATTTTAGCTAGTGAAAAGGTACGGAAACAGGGGGACTCATTTTCAGTAAGTTCTGCATCTCTATTGAATGTTGGTGGGGGAGAGGAATTTTCCTGTGAAGCTGAATTGCTGGGTGATTCCTCATCTGGTGCAGGAGTAAATAAATCAAAATCAAGTGATTTTGCATCAAGCGATTTTCTTTTTCCTCCCTCAGAGCTGGTTGGTGAACAAGATCCAAGATCTCGCAAAAGTTTACCAGGCTCCAGTGATTCTCTTTGCCTTGCTCTTCGCTCACTCATCATCATCAATCTTCGGCTTGCTGTGAACATATTGAGGTTTTCTTCCAATGCAGGCTTCTCCTGTCGCCTGCTGGAAGGGTCGCCAAGTAACAAAAGCTCACCTCTAGATGGAGGTCGATCAAGAGCTTCTCCTTCCACTGGCTCAAGAATGTTTAGTGAACTTGTGAGAGGCCCAGGAGGAATATCGAGGTCTTGACCATACAAGCTGACTTCAGAGCTACGTCTGGAGCTCAAACCTGATTCCCTTTCTTCTCCTCCGTATGAAGTAGTATTATCTAAGGAGAACCTTTCACTGCTAACTGGTGCTAGGATGGGGGAGTGACCATTGGAAGTGATATTTTCATTATCACTTGCAGTTGAAATCTTTTTCTTTAGACTACTGTCAACAGGAGGACTTGCATCTTCAGGTGGACTGGGGTTCTCAACATCAATAACATCTGAGCTTTTACTACTTTTACTCTTCTCTGATGGATCTTGGTCATCTGCGAGACTTGTTATTGTACATGAAGATGGTACAGGGCTAGTTCTAAGATGTGCCCTTTTAAGTTTGGAGGAAGCTGGCCCTGAGGATGACTCCAGCTTGTTTGTTAAATCCTCTATATAGGTGTCACTCCTTCGAAGTGCCCTTCTAAGCTGTTGAACCTCACGTTCATACTGACCCACCTTTGTCTGAAGACCAGCCATTGTGTAATGACTGTACCTTAAGTAGAAAGAACAACATACATTAATTTTTCTAAAAAAAGCCTCCAATCAAGCATGCATGGTGTCCATGACCCCCTCCCTCTATTTTTGTTTGTTTGTTTTTTTTGTTAAATGACCAAAATTCTGGAAGACATGCGGCCAGCCACAACCACTGTCCTTTCTCAAGGGAAGAAGAGATAGGACTTTGGGAATAAGGAGGGTTGAAAGTCAGTTGATGGTGAAAAATTATTCACAGAAATGGAGGTCAATAGTGGTAAATATTTACCAAGCCCTGAAGCAGCAAAGCAAATATCCACCACCTTTGCTGACACTGTGGTAAATTATTGTTTTAATGTAAACCACACAGAAACCAAAAAAAATTATTTTATCATATTTCAATATACCAGAAAATGGTCTGGAACTAAATTGTTGACCCGTTATTTTGTCCCTTGAGCTGCTCAGAGATGAAAAGTACTAGCTCATCATGTCTGAACCAGCCAATCAGTTTGTGAAAAAAGCATTATTCACCTGCACAGTACATACTAATGAACATCATCTTATGACTGAGACAGTCCAGTTCAATAGGTCTAATCAACTAATTCAATTCCTTTATCACTGGTCCTGTCATGTCTGAAATTAAATACTGGCGGTATCCAACCAGGCATTCTCCAGAATAATATTGGGGACTAGTAAGGACTAATGTTTACTCTGACAGTAGGTACTACTGTTTACTCTGACTATCAATTTAGATGGCCATCAATATGGAAGATCTCCCTCAGAGAAATAATTGTAAATGTACAGAATATATAACAGGAATTGCTGCATTTTCAGTTTGCACTAAAATAATTTCAACCTGAAAGCTGCTGTGAATTAGCAGATTGTTCTTATTAACCCTTCAAGAAAATAATCTTAAGGGTACAATCCCAATAACTCAAACCTTCAAGGGAAATTGAAAAAGGTCTGAGTTATCAGGAGTTCAAGCAAAGGACCAGAAATAAGGGAGAACTGTATTTACTGTATACTATGTTTAGACAGTATACATTTAACCATAGAGAAGTCGAGTGAAAATGTAACACTAAACTACTACAGAGGTGGTTAGACATAGTTTGAGTTATTAAGGCTTAGAATATGTGGAGAATACACCTGAAGGGAAACAAAACTTGCTTCCAGTTAGCGGGTGGTTTGAGTTATCTAGGGTAAAATTGTAGTAATATATATGACAGAAATCCAGGGGAAATCAGTTTTGGTTTGAGTTAGCAGGAAGTTGGAATTATTGAGGGTTCAAGTTACTGAGGGTAAAACCACAGTAACTGTATGACAAAATTAAGGTGGAATAGGCTTTGGTTTGAGTTAGTGAGAAGTTTGAGTTAGCAAGGGTTCAAGTTATCAGAATTGGTCTTTACAAGTTATAGATGCCAATCTCTATAGTACCAAGCAGAAGCAAATCACAAGTTGAAACTTCTGACTTTAAGAGAAGTTTTAAGTTATTTTGGGGAGTTCAACATACCAGACAATTGTCAATTTTGCCATTTGATATTAATTTTAACTGCAGCTAAGACTTGTTGTTAATTGACATAACTTTCATAATCTTAAACTAAAAGAAATTTTCTGTCTTTATAGAACTAATTATTGCTGAGACATTGAAAATTTAAAAATCCAAAGATTCTACATGTAAGAAAACTGTACCTATTGAGTTTGCCACAGCAAATGTGTCATTTGTCTAAATAAAATCAGGGTCTCAAAAGAACTATCAAACACTTTGGTATTACCTTGCACAGAATACTTTTTGAGTATTTAGCATTAATCATAACCATTACAATTTCCTCAAATGTGATTGCTGCAGTAGCTGCTTTATTTTTCACTAATCATTCTGTAGGGTTGTAACCGGACACCTGTGATTGGACAGCAGAAGTAGCCAATCATACCTAGTCCTTTCAGTCAAGTCCACCAATCACAGAATTGATCACAATAACCAAAGCAACAAACACTTATCCTAAGAGAGTTGTGGCATTTTTTTTACTTAGACATTATCTCTTCTGCACATATTTGTCCTAAACGTATTTGTTGTTTCTGGAAATTGTAACAGTTATGATTAATTGGTAACTCAATTAAGCATCCTCCTTCCAATAAGCACCCCTCCTTTTTGCCAAACCATTAAATAAATGCTGTGGTGCTTATTTAAGGAAATACGGTAACCATATTCATTTGCAGTCTTAATTTCTAAGCAATTTTCGATAAGCCAATGTTAATTTGTACAATGGAGTAATTTACCTCTAGTCTTGTAATTATTCTCAGTGGGGCAGAATTTTAAGTCCTTTAATCTGATAACCTAAGGCTTATTGATTATCAATCTTGATTTCTGAGCCATTCTTGTTAAGCAAATGTTACTTGGTGAAATGGAAAAATTTATCTAATTTAAATATTCTTATTCCATGTCAAATTTTCCACATCGAAAGGAACACCTGTTCTATCTGCCGACCACAGCTGTTTAACCCTTTAACTCCCATGAGTGACAAAGACAGAATTTCTCCTTACAATATCAATACAATATCAACCAGATAAGTGATGAGAATAAACTAAGAAAAATATCAATTTGGGGATAATTAGTTGATTTAATACTAAATTCTCTGAACTTACATTATAAGAATTGTATGGTTGACAGTAAAGAGAATTACAAATTTGATTTGGGAGTTAAAGGGTTAAGGACACAATTTACAATTATTTACAGCATTACTAAAAATTGACTTGTTCATTAAGGTCAGTGATAATATGAAGAGTATCATTTAACATTCATCAATATGGGCTCATCTCTTTAATTACAGAAGGAAAAATGAAATATCTCTCTAAAATTTATTGTCTAAATCATAATTACACATAATCAGCTGGAGATTAAGTTTTGTCCATGGGGATGTTATATTTCAAAACAAATTTAGGTCAAAAGTTTCAAATTTATTTGTTCTGTTCTTATTTATGTTGACAAATTATCATAATTCCTAGACAAAAGTAAATTCACATCAACCTAGTTTTGAAAAATTATCACCCAACTTTGATTTTTCCTACAATTTAGATGTTTTGTTCAATTAACTTCAGATCACATGTTAGTTTGTGAAAAAACATGCTCAACTTTCAAATTGTCAAATATAGCATTCTAACAATTATTAACCTTTTACCTTCAAGTAGTGACTAACATGAAACTTCTCCCTATAATATCCATACATTATTCAGCAAGCAGGTAATGAGAATACTCAAACTTATCAGGTAGAAGTTGTTATCTAAATCTTACTCCAAATTCTTGTAACTAATTTACAAGGAAACATGTAGCAGCCAGAAGGGAGAATTAAGAATCAAAACCTGGGGATTAAAGGGTTGATAATTAAAAGCACAAAGAGTCTAAATCATAGTTGACTCATTTATTACTTACCTCTGAGGAGACTTTGAAAATTTGGGTTCTTCTTTGAGACGTGAATTTTCCCTGACTAGAGTCCTATTTTCTTCCTGTAATCTCTTGTTATCCTGAGAAAGAAATTGTTGAGGTTTAATATTAGGTGAATTTTTCATGATCTACTCAGGTTTTGTGCATTTACCAGTAATTCTTATACATCATATTTACAAGTGTTAACGTGGTTTTGTAGAGAAGGTAATTAATTTAAATACTTTCTCTTCAAGACCACCCTTGAAAGCAAAACAAATATGAAATAAAATTAATTAATTAATCAGACCCTCTAACACTTTGGGGCTGCACTTTCACTTTCAAATGTAGTTAACAACCAGAAGAAACCAAGACATAATCTCTCCTTACAATAACAAAATAATATCAGACAAGCAATTGATGAGAACAAAGGATTGATTATAAAACTATAAATTAGGGGCTTAATCCAAAACTAAATTCTCCAGACTACAATCTTAAGAATTGTATGGCAGGCAGTAATGAGAAATACTGATGAAACCTTGTGTGAGAAAAGGTTAATTTTAACTATGTCTGCAATGAGGAGAGGCAGGAATTATTAACCCTTGAACCCCAAAGAGTAACAAGCATCTAGATTCTCCTTACAATATCACCCCTGAATAAAACAGTAAGGTCATGAGAATGAAGGAAATTACCAACAACTAAAGAAGCTCTGGGTTGTTTGACAAATTCTCCTTATCAGTACCTCAGGAAATGTATAAAGAACAGTATGGAGAATATGAAAACTGATGTTAGGGTGTAAAGGGTTAAAGGATAAAGCCAAAAGGCGACAGGGTCTTATCTTGCAAACTTGATTGAACAATAATCACAAGACTAATTAGTGACCTTAACCCTTTAACTCCCAATTGTCCTTACTGTCTACTATACAATTCTTTTGATGTTAGTTGGGAGAATTTGGTGTTGGATCAACTCCCCTAATTGATATTTTTCTTTTTTCTCATCATTTGTGTGCTTGATATTGTATTGATATCATAAGGAGAAATTCTGTCTTGGTCACTCATGGGAGTTTAAGGGTTAATAACAGCAAATAATTCATTGTACAATAGTCCACAATTTCTATTAAACATCACTTAGCCTCCCCTTAAGTGATCAGCTTAAGACACAAAGTGTGTCTTAATTTCATCCTCCTGGTTCCCAAACTGACACAGCACACAAGTTGTTATCAACTAAGTTTATAAGCTGACAGGCAAATGCAGAGAGTGTAAAAGGGTAAAACTATATGATGACAGATCCTAACTTCTAAACCTGATTGACAAATAATCATAACCATTGATCACAACATGTACAAACTAACAGTTTTGTTTCTGTGGTTACTAAAACATAACTATGTATGTGATACATTTTCTGAACAGCATGCATGCATTGGTCTGTTACTTTTGCAATTCCTATGGTGTTAGTAACTTTTGGTCATACTGGTGTGCTGTAAAGTAAGCTTAATGTGCATTAATGGTGTATATTACTTTGCCTTTAATCCTGTAACTCCCATGAGTGACCAAAACAGAATTTCTCCTCACAACATCAATACAATATGGAGCAGTTATAGGATGAGAATAAAGAAAAACATCAATTTTGGGACTATCAGTTGCTCCAATACCAATAAAAAATTCAGTTCTGGGTAATGATGGGTATAGTTGAGTTTAGTTGGAATCACTCTCCTTACTATTATGCCACTGGTAAGCTTTCTTTAAGTAACCATGGGAACAGTAATGGCACTGTTAAAGTACCTCTTTAATTTTGTCCATATCACCTCGCAGATTTTCATAAGTGTAGCTTGCTTCTTGTAATCTGGTGGTAAGTTTTACCAACATGTCAATGTCTAGTTTTCCAGTACCACCATCATCTTTGTCACGATGTCTGTTGGTGAAATCCATAGATGCCATTGTTCGCTCTCTTTCAATCATCTTTTCATGAAGTTGCTTGTTTTCAGCTTTTAGACGATCGACAGTGTTTTGGAGAGACTTGACTTCATCCTAAACAATAATATAGAAGACTTTTGCTTTCAAATATGAACTTTAGCACTTTCCATCATACAACTACATGATAGGAATTTGTATTTTGGGATTTGCCTCTTGTGGAGGCAGTATGGCTGGGTTGGTTAGGACATTGGACTTGTAATCTGGTGGTCCTGGGTTCAAGCCCTCCACCCTGCTACTCATTGGATTTGTTCGTGGTCCCCCCCACCTCCCCAAGTTCATCTCCCCAGCTGCGCGCTGTGTAAACAGCCAACTGGTCTGCCTCCTTCCAGTTATGATTTTCAAGAACTTTATGTTTCATTCAAATATTTGTTTCTCTCTTTGCGCATAAGAGCATATGTAAATGAATATATACATATTGTAAAAATTAAATTTATTGTTATTATTATAACGCCTATTTTGTGACCCACTACACCTCACAGACCTTGCATTCACTCTTTTTGTTATCTCTGACTGATATTAACTAAAAGCTGTTGCTTGTCCCTAATAACTTAATTTCCTGCTGACGGGAAGTTGTTTTGGTTTCCATCCCTGATGGTTACCCAAGATAATTTGAACTGTAATATATTACAAATTTGTGACAAGTCAAAACTGATAAAACACAGAAGGCCATATCATTGCATTATTTGTGAGGCAACTATATAAAGCACATGAATGCAGCACTGGCAGCTCAACAAAGCTGTCTTTGAAACAGGTTGCAATACACATCCTCCAAGCTGCAACCATTTATTTTTTAATTTTGATAACTAAATTTCTTGCTCTAGGATCCAGATGGCCACTTGTACGTATCAGTAGAAGCAGACTGTTGTGTCATTGTTACTAGTGTTTATGGTCTAAAGTTCAACTGACATGAGAATTTTCCTGAAATATTCTTAATTATTCATCATTCTTTCTTGCAAATGTTGCCTCTATCTCAATGGTTAGTCCTGTAAAAGTCTTGAAATGTTTCATGAATCTCCAAAAATTAAATTTAATGCAGACTAGGCCATTAAACTTTCATTTCTGGCGACCAATTAAAAAATTCTTGGTTGTCACATGGCAACTTTGAAAAAGGCTTGAACATGGAACCCTGGAAAAGTACTAGGACTTCTCTAGTCAAACTACTTTGAATTACGCTTCATAAGATGGAAAAATTTTAATGAGGATTGTGTTGCTCCATTTTCCCTCATGATGATAAAATTTGATTTAAGCATACATTGTATCTACCAAAATACAACAAACAACTTTCAACCCTGATTTCCGGCAATTTGGTCTCATCTCTTGATAACTTGGAACTTCTCAGAAGTTGAACCTTTCTCAATTTGTGAGTTATCAGGAGTGAGTGGTACTCAATTTTCAGAAACAACTCTGTGACCACATAGGGCAGCACATGTTTACTTCTTATCTTGGAATGGCAGGCCAAGGGCCTAACTTTTATCACTGTTCCCCTACTCTACAGCAAAAATACAGACTCACGCAAACAGTTCACCAAATTATACTGAGTCATAGTTGCATGTGAAGGAGAGTAATTAACAAAGAGGCTTGCATGCAACTTGATTGTTTTTGGGTTGATAGCGACTTTCAGGGATGTCAACAAAACAGTTGACCAAGCTAGACTAAGAATACATTTTGCGTGCAGGAATGCAACAACTTAAGGAGGCAACGAGATTGTAAGCAGGCTTATGGTCACCTCAAGGGATGTCAATGAAAGCCAGTTATGGTGTTTTGTCCCAGTTAATAAGTCCTCTAAGAGCTGTCTGTTGTAATTTTAGTGCATTAAGCTGTTTTCAACCTCTATCATGGTGTTCACAATTGTCTATTCCTTGAATGGTGCCTATTCAGCAAAAAAAAAAAAAGATTGAAAACTCCGCCCTGAAATAATGGGGAGTAAAGATGTCACAGCCACGACGCCTGGAAAAATATCACATCAGGACTGAACTCTCTTCTCTCTGTGAATTTTGGCAGTGGCTTAATGTATTCACTGTCTCTGGCAGTTCAAAATCTCCCCTGCGGCATAACACGTGAAAGGCGGTGATGATTTCAAAGCGGCAACGTGACTAAACTGCCATTTGCGGTTTTTATTCTCTTGGCAATTATTCACTATTGTTATATATAAGACAGTTGATAGATTTTCAAAGTTTTGACATGCATTCATCAATCTAATGTCCTTTCCATTAAAATCTCCTGTTTGGTTAGTTGCCTGTTGCCATCATTGCGTTCTTATGCTAATATCAGACATTTTCACAGTCTAAGCAACATAGCAAACTCCCACACACATTAACATTGATCGACATATTTCTTTGTTCATTGATGGAAATCAGAAATTACCATCTTCTTTAATCTATCAACACAAAAGAGGCTTTGAAAATCACACATTAAAAAAGAACGCAAGACGCTAGACACACATGAATCTAGTATACTAAAGGCTTAGTGCAATAAGGTCACTATAGCTAAGTTGGTAGCGCATCTGACCAAGTTATTGGATGGTCTAAAGTTTGACATCTTGCGGGGATCTCACATATGCTTTATGTTCGTGACAGATAAGTAACATCTTTCTTTGGTATCACGAGTTATGGTCGTGGACAAACAACCTTTATACCGACTTGCTTAAAATCTCCTTGGAAACCACCCTATTTCAATCATAGATTAAACATTGGCGGATGGCATCAGAATATAATAGTACGGTTTTGGACACAAAGAAAAAGCATCAGCACTGCTTACAGCTACTTTTAGTGCTGCGTAAGATCCTTGAAATTTCAACTGTAATACCTTTCAAGTGACCACATCACGGTTCAAACAACAAGCTATTAAACATTTAGTATAATGAAAAGAACACTCCTAGGTTTAATGGGAACAATTGGTTGTCACCCTTAAGTGGTCATATGAGACAAACAACTCACAACAAAAACACGCTGTCTAACATGCACATGTAGAATGCATACTACCAGAAATAGTAATATCTTAAATCACTTGGCACTAAGCCAACGCCTGCTAGGGAAGTAACTCACAAGAAATGAAAGAATCCCTGGATCGCAATGGCACGCAATGGGTTTTAACTAAAATATTAATAGAACAACAATGTTTTTTTTCTTCTCATGTTGCCGCAGGTATGTTAATACCATTCATTTTAGGGGATGACCCTTCTAATTTTTGAAGTACAAATTATTCAAAACTGCGCAAAGATTTCCATCAAAAAGAGTACAGAGGGTGGCATTTTGTTTGGTACTGGTTTACATTAATTTTTGGCCAAAGGATGTTGTTTCAGATAACGCCTACGCTTGTGTATTACAATAATAAAAACTTTTTAAAGATGGTGAAAGGCGACAAGTTACAAAATGATAATACTTCCATTGTTTCTTTGAGGATAAATATATTGTACTGCAGGTTTAGGAAACACTTGTTGTAGTAATAAAGGGAACCTACAAGAGATTGAACCAATTCACAAGGAACTTCTAACACCAACTCTCTAAGTTCAGAAGAATTATAGGATTAAAAGGTGTTTCACCCGACATCGTCTTTCCGTGACAACTACATCTTGGTCCCCTCCTTAGTGTATAATCGTTTTCCGGCATCAAACTTAACAATCACCAAAATTGATTCAACCCCATGATTTTGGCATTTCCTGTCTCGTGTCTTACGGGATGACTTGATTTAAATATGCATTTCTATTAGATTAACTATCAAGCTAGTACTAACAATAACAGATCAAAGTCTGCTTTGTAAAAGACACATATAGGTGTTTAGCATCAAAACGTACAGTGACTGTGCTATGACCTCTAACAACATAGCTGAGATATTTCATTGAATGGGATATTGCATGTGTATACCAATGTGAAAAAGCATGAAACACCATCCATGTTTTCTTAACAGTGGTAAATATAAATCAGTGAAATCACGACAGCGTGATATTTCTGTATGGCCATAGGAATTAACACATGCGGTTTGCATGCAAGTAATTCTTTGTTTACCTCATATTCTTGCCTTATTAAGTCAAGTCTTGTACGTCTTAAGTCTGCCCTTGTTACAGCATCATTACTCACTGGCAAATCAATACTTCCTAGTGAAAAATAGTATAAAACACAAAATATTTTCTTTCTCTAAATATATTATTTCTCTAAGAACACTAAGCACAGCTTAATTTAATATTGTGAAGAGAACGTTCATCAAACAGTAAAAAACTGTCTGAGAGTGTCTGAAAAGAACATAAATAGTACTTGGTCACCCGGAGTTGCTACAGGAACAGCACAATTAAATCATTGTTATTCTAATTTATTCATGTCTGGTTTGAGGCATCACAAAGTGTTTTATAGCATATTGTGCAACAGAAACCGACAGCTTGTGGTTAAGGAAAATAAGAGGGACCGTCCAATTGAAACGATCTCCCAGAGCCTTGAAAAGCTTTTGCCACGTAAACAATGCACCTCATTGGTCAGCTAGATTGACATCGCAATACACAATTGATTCAGATAAATTGCAGGTTACAGAGGTCATTTGATAAATTGCCTTGCTCACGTCTGTTCGATGGTTCACACAAAGGAGGTATGAAAAGCATGTGCTAGCTCAGACGGTCACTGACCCACAAGTCCGGAGCCATATTGTGCATGCAAGTCAAGGGGCAGGACTTTAGAGCTTAACTTTGAGTAAATGCAAAAATACCCGTATCATGTTTTGAGGGACTACACCTGAACACAAATAAACATTTCCTTTGTTTCGCTGCTACCCGGGACAACTTCAAAATCTATTCTCCCTGATGAATTTTCCTCGTTTTGTGCGTTTAGTGATTCAACTGAACCAACAGATGAACCAGACAAAGCATCTTCCAATCGCTCACAAGAATTGTTAACAAATTAAACGCCATCCTTTCAGAATCTAATTAAGATCTAGAATTTCTTCGGCCAAAGAAAGGCTCGATCATTATTTCCTGAATGTAATTACGTCCTTGAAACATCGTAACCCGGCCGGCGTTGAAGACAGCAATAGTCAAGCATAATTCCCTTTTAACTTCCCCTCTAACTTAACCTTGGAACGTCGCCCTCTCTAAAAGCGCAATGCTAGTTCAACTAGAATCACGGCGCTTGGCGAAAGTTCTTACCAAGAATTTTCTTGCAGGGCTTCTCCGTTGTTATCGGCGTTCGGCACGTTGGGCAGAATGAGTGTGTTCGTAGCCACAAATCCATACAGTTTGAGCAAAACACATGTTGGTTAGGACAAACTACAGGCTCTCTAACCTGAATATAAACCACACATGGAAGGTTAGATCATGTACATTCGAACTGACATATTCTTCGATAATGCGCGCGCGAAATGACAAACATCACACGACACAATGTGTCACTAACAGCGAGGTTCTTACCTTCCCTAGACATATCTGGCACGAAATCGGAAGAGTCATGGAGAGGGAAGTTGAAGAAACGGAGACCTTTTTGTTCGCCATGAGTGTTTATGCTTCGTCCGGTGTCATGCCATATGATCTATTGGAGAGCGCGTTTAACTGTTTAAACCGTGACATCCTGGGTCTCCTCTCCTTGACACTGGTGAACAGCGGACGCATTCGAAGTGCATGCTCAGTAAACTGTGGAATCCAACATGGCGGCAATTTCAAGAGCGACAGGAATTGATGACTGGTGGAAAAGTGTTCTTGTTTTCTCTGTATTGCTGAAATCTCTCCTGATACCTGCGTAGTACCATTCACGTTACCATTGTCAATTTGTTGAATGTTGATCATCGATATGTAAACTTGTAAAGGTTATTTTCAAATATCACTTTGTGTTTGAGCATTAGCAAAACGACTTAATCGTTATTATTATTCTTTATTTCAGCTGTTAAAATTTATCAGGGGGTGGCCATCTAATTTCGATCCTTCTTTAAGCTGCCATAATTTGCATTCGCTTTGACATTTATTGTTTATAATGTAGAGCTTAATTTAATCTTGCTTATACCAGTGCAAAGATTGCATGTGATCAAACTAAATTCGACTTGAAGAATGCTGATATTTTTGTTATCAGCTCAGCCAACGCACATCATTGCGAACTGCTTATATAGTCTCATTAACAGATTAACTTGAAACAAAGTACTGTTGCAAAAGTATATCTTTGCTTTTTGATACCGAATCTTCTCTGTGTTTTGGCGAGCACTTCAGATGACAGTAGTTGTAAAAATCAATTTTCACCGATTGAACATAATGGTTTGGGGCATAGAATATTGTTTGTGTCAGGTTAGCACTTAATTCTTATGTCTGAGAGGTAATTAGAAACGTCTGATTACATAACATGAGAGGTGACGAGACAACAATACGACATTATATTGAGCCTGTTGACATTACAAGAGAGCTTATCATCAAATCTTCTTATTAGGCTCTGTTTTTAATGGTGCTTAAATTTGTCAAATGGTAAGTTACAGGTTTTAATTTGTGTTGTTCCATCTGCAGTTCAAAAATGTAATTCGATATAATAAATAAAGAGAACATCAGAGTTCAGTTGCATTTAAATTTATTTGGAGTGGAATTAAGTGACATGTCTTTGTGGTTTTTTTTTTTGAATGGATTTTTTGCAGCCATTCCAGTGATTTTGAGGTGCACAGAAATTGGCTTGCCATTACAAACAGTTTGCCCTTGTCAAGATGGTATTATGAGGTATGGTATGTGCACGCAACCCTTGCTAGTCACACTAATATTGTAGTTATAGTAGAGATAAAAACTATTGCAAGGATAATAATAATAATAATGATATCAGTAATAATGCCAACGATGACGTTTTATAAGAATGTATATTTTTGGCAAGTTGCTGAATAGCCCATGGAAGGTTTAGCATAAGATCTTGTTGGCTGAGAGTTTAGGGCAAGCTAGGATCTTAATAAAGTTGTTATCCAATCTCAGAGCACCTCCTCTGCCCAGGATTATAAACTGGGTCAAAAAACCTACTGTTTTGTTGGTTGCTCTTGGCTAACTTTATGCTTATCAAGGGTAAACTGACTTTAAATGGCTAAACTGTGAAACATTATTTGGTAATTTGGTTATGATAATAGTCTGCATTGTGAAAGTTTGTCCCAAAAATTCAATCAGGTGTTGTTAATCCTCTTATTATGACTCAAAGTTCTTATTTCAATGTGTGATGCGCTTATTCCAAGGGTTCACATATTTGAGGGCCTTGATATTTAATCATTTTTTCCACGCAATTAGCTACATGCAGCTATAATCACTTTTCTTCTCACAATGCTTTATTTGGATACAGAAAATACAATAAGCTGTCTTTATATTCAAAGTTGATCCTTAAGTTTAATAGCAGCACAATACATCGACTTATTTTTCAAAACTTAATGTGTTTACTAAGTGGAAACAAGTTTGGTGTGAAAGTCCAGTGATAAAACATAACCAATACTTTACATGGTTGTCGTAGTAACTAGAGTTTTTATAAATCAGGCACACATGTTTATTCAATTTTCAGATTATCAACATTACATTGGCTGGCGCACAAATAGACAGAGCCAGTCTAAAGCAGTGGTGAATTAAGCATGAGATAGCTAACTATACTCTCCAAGCTAACTGTCTAAACTAAACTGGATTCAGTTTAGGGAAATACTTACAACTGAACAAATTTTATTATCAAGAAATACATCACAAAGGAAATTGTGATATTATTGTTTAGAATTTGTTACTTCTATTATACTTGTTTGAGAATCGAAGTAATTGTCTTTGTCTGCCAGGATGCCAAATGAAATATCATGGAGTTTAGTCCAAAAGATTTCTTGGTTAGTAGGTGTTAGGCTGGCTAATAACTCATTCCACAGCTTGACACCCATGTCAGAAAAATGAGTTTTGCATTTTGCGTTCAAATTTTTTGAACAAATACATTTTTGGTAGAGGAAGATTGCGTGTTTTGCGAATGAATGCAATATGTACTCTCTCATCCAAATGCGTTTGATCTGTTCGCCAATACTTGTCATTTAGTTGATATAGTGCATAGTTTCTTGTTCTTATTGTCCACATAAGTTTTTGATAGTGCCTGAGTTACATCTTCTCTAAGATTTTCATTGAATTTGATACACCACAGATTGTAATTTTGTTTTATTTGGTTTGGTTGTTTGGTTTTATTTTGTGGTTAGATATTTGTCTTTATTTGATCCCAGTTGAATCATACCTTTGTACATATTCATTTGGTTTAAAAGATATCTCAGCATTCAATATGGTTGTAGCATTCATCTACAATTATCTCGGTACTTGTCCAGGGAAGTTAGGGAAGAGGAAGGAAGAAAGCACCCATTTTAACTTTTTGCCGATAGGAAGGTAGGACAGTTTTCTCTTCTATTACAAGCATGAAAGATTAAAAGAAATTTTCAAGCAGGTAGAGCAGTCTTTTTCCTGTTGACTTATTCCAAATTTCAATTTGTCTGGCGGTAATAAGAGATACTACAAGAAATAAATTTTTCAATTACTGCCTGAAAAGGAGAACACTAGAGGGGGATGCTTGTTCAAGGAGTCAACATGTCCCAGTTACCTCTGTATACAAGAAAGGAAACTTGATCTTGGCAAAAGGCATCACAAAGTAACAAGCAGTGATGATCCCACAAAATATCATCCTCCTCCATTATTATTGATTATTTTTTCTGGAACTTGTAGAAAACTTCAGAGTGGACTCTGGATTATCCGCCGCTATTCGCCTGGTTTGAGTATTTGTTATCACAAGTAGCTGCCTTGGTTGATCCTAGGATGGTGATTATAAGCAAGTTACCTTATACAAGTCTACCAACTGTACTGTTCCAAAGAGGATCTGTTATGTTTACAGACCTGCTGTTGGCTTACGCTGTGAAGGAGTGAGTCACTTTTAATGCTTTCAAGTTTTTTGCTAGTTTGTCCTGATTATTCAAAAAGAGCTTTTATGTAGTAAATTGACTTAATCAATGCAGTTATACACAATCAAGTATCACAAAATACCATGCGCTACTCATTTGATCTTTTGATCTTTTGTGTTGCCATGTCTTTCTTGCCATCGCTGTTACTGCTGTAGTTTGCTTAGGGTCCCTTTCAGTGCATGTGAAAACCAAGCCTTTCTTTGAAAACTGGTTTGGTCAGATTGTTCAACTCTGAGGATACCAAGAGAGAATGATGTGAGTGAGTGTTTTGTCAAGTGTACATGAAATATGCAAGTTCTGTGGATAAAACTATGGCTCAAAGACATTTTTTCAGAGTTAATTCTAGTTATGAGATCTCATCTGAAATGGTGTGCTTACCTAAAGGCTGAGTAAGTTGTGTCAACTCAGTAAATTGGTACTCTGTTTCCAAAGTAATGTGTGCTGGAGTTGTGTGAAGGACACTGTAGCATAGAGTTCAGCGTAATGAGCTCCAGCTATGAAGGCTTAGTTTCCAACCCTAGAGCAAACTTTGTGTTTTATTCTTGGGCTAGAAATCTCACTTTTGCAGTGCCACTCTTCTACCAAAAGACAGTATAAATAAGAATCGGCAAACTGTCGAGTAGATTTGGTAAAATACCAGGAGTAACTCTGCAATGGAGTGGCATTCTATCTGTGGAGATTGAAACCTACTCTGGGTGATTGGGCTGGGTGGTTTGTGAGCTTACTTTTAATTGCTCTTTCTTTTTTTTTTTTACCCCCTAAGGTATTGTAGCTATCTTGCCAAGAAGTCTTCTATTACTGTGCGCAATTGTCTGATCTTGGCTATATTGGTCATTTTTAATTTTGGTCTTCTGATAGTGGATCATATCCTTTGATACTTTCACCACATCAGGAAAACAGAATAGTTGGGCGAATCGGATTAGTTAATCAAGAAAATAGTTGTTTAAAGGAGAGTTTGCTTAATATGAAATGATTGAATTTGATCGCATTACATTTGGCCATAAAACTATTAAACTAAACAAAATTAGACAAAAATTTCAATGGCGGTAGTCATTACTAAGTTCAAAGCACTTTTGAAATTTTTGGGCATGGCTACAGCAGGGAATGTTTTGTCTACAACTTTTTTAAGATTTGCCAAAATTACCTCAATGTTGACCAAATATGGTATTAAAGTAACTAACTCAAAAGGATTCATAAATTCCTTGACGTCTTTCAGACATTCATTTCCAATACAATGGGTTCTTGTTTGGCATTCTGCTTCTCTCTATAACAAAGTTGTCGCAGGTATATTTCATTGTTTTGTTTTCTTCTCATTGAAGGTGTGTTCACTGTATTTCCCTTAACTGTATCTTAATTTGACCCTTTAATCCCCCAGTTCTAATTATTAATTCTCCCCACTACATGCTACACATTTCCTTGTAAATTAGTTACAAGAATTTTTTATTTTGATTCCTCTCCTTTATTTGATAATTTTTTTTGAAGACAAAAAAGCAATTGCATTTATTGTAAAATTATGCTCTTGTGGTCCTTGAAAACCATGGTTGCATTTCAAGACCAAATCAACTAAAAAGGAAGGTACTGTTTGGAGCAGCATAAACTATAATAGCCCATCTAGGAGAGTTTTCCCCCTCTGGGTTTTGATACATATGTTACTTTTGTTTCTGACTGTGGTGAATAAAATCTGTACTTTTCATGAATTTGCTTGTTAATCTGCAGCGATCTATACCTCAATTAATAAGGGCAAAATTTTGCATGAATTGAAAGCATTGGAATCTTCTTTCTATGAACACCACTTAAACAAAAAACTATTGCCAAGGGCCACCTTAGATAATTACTGACCAGCCCAACCTGAGGAAAATGCTAGTGTGGTTTTTTTTTTTACAACTTACAGTTTATGGCGCAATTTCAGCAAGTGTTCAAAAGTGAAACAAGAGCATTTAAATTATCTTTTATGCCCCTTTTAGGGACTTTTCCAAATTGAGAGTTTTAAGCTTAACCTTTCCACTTACATGTGGACGTGGTAAGAAATAGGGCTGCTTTTCAATTTGTCAGAATTCTGCTATTTCACTATGTTGTTGGAATTGTTTCACAGGTGAAAATGCAAAGTGTTTGACATTGCTAGGAGATGAACTTTATTTGTTTGTCTCATGATGGAGTCTTTTTTGTAATGTTGATTGCAACATTTCAACTGCAATACTGCCAGTCTTCATCAGGCAATGAAGATTAGCAGTATTGCAGCTGAAATGTCACAATCAACATGCTAAGTGACTCCATCTTGAGACAAACAAATAAAGTTCATCTCTTATCTTACACCACGATGAATAATAACCACATATTTTATTACTAACAGTGTTTGACTTTATTCAGATCATTTGTTCTGGCTATAAAGTAAAGTTCAGGTGACTCATTTCAATCACATTTCAAATGCTTACTCACATGGTAATTGATAAATTTAGGGATGTGCATTGGAAGGCTCTTTTTGGTTTGCAGTCCTGCTGAATTTCAAACACATCTTTCTCTACATTGCCCCAGCATACTTCATTTTCCTTTTGCGATCTTACTGTTTCCAACCATCTGCAGCTGAAAAGAAAGGTAAATTAAAAATATAAAATCACTTGACTGTAACCAGAACCCCTATTTTTACAAAAGCATAGCCAAATGAGAGGTCCTATGATGTATGTGATGTGCTTCATTATCAAGAACCCATTATGGAAATAAACCCTTTAACTCCCATGAGTAACCAAGAAAGAATTTCTCCTCCTAACAAGGAAGACAAAGGAAGAAGAATATCAAAAAGGGAATTATTAGCTGATCCAATAACAAATTCTCTGCAGTAAAATTGTAAGAATTGCATGACAGACAGTAAGGAAAATTACTAATGAGGTCCTAGTGGTGAAATGGTTGAGACAGTTCAGCTTCCTCTAACTGCTTCCTTGTCATATTTATGGCCACACTTTTTTTCCTAGTGTCTGGTTCAAGCATTCACTGTTATCTAAACCTTTCTGGAAGGGCCAGTTTTCCACAGTGCATTGGTCATGTATCTAAGGAATAAACTAAGAGTCAGTCTGCTTTGGCTTCACTTGAGCAGAGAGCCTTTGATAGATTAACTTTGCTAGAATTTGAATGATAATTGGGTGAAAAGAAATGTCTCCAATGCTTACCAGGTGTCATGTTGGGAACCCTTCACTTAAATGACTGCCTCTCTCAAAAGACATTTTTGGCTTAAATAAGGTGTTTGTTTTGACAGCAGGCCAACACCTACAGGTGAAGCCTAACTATACCCCTTTATTACCACCATTACTACTATATGATATGTATGATATATGATATATATGATATATATGATATATATATATATATATATATATATATAACAAATATAATATATGATATATATTATATATATGATATATATCTATATAGATATATATATCATTATATATTATATTATATTATATTATATTGTATTATATAATATGTAGTAAATTACTACTTTATGTGGTTAGCTCTTGCTTTTCAAAACCAGAATTTTAGAATATAGTTGACTTGGCTGACAATGATTCTCTTTTTTAACTTTGCAGAGAAACAGTTAAGAATTTTTGGTGTAAATATTTGGGATTTTTCCCCTTTGAAGTTGATGAGACTTGGCATCATTGTGGTCTTTGTATTTGGTCTTTCATTTGGACCATTTATAGCCATGGTATGGTTTCTTATAACATATAGTTCAAAGTAGTGGTAATCTTCTAGTTCTACCAAGTTAGGTTGTTATGCAACATTTGCATGAACATGGGCTCACTGCGCACACTTAATTTGGAGCCCTGCTCTGTTGTGTGTCCTGCACCTTCGTCTCTTGTTCTTTTGACCTCTTCAAATGTATTCTTCTTCCAAGTCTTATTCTAGCATTGTGATCATGGAAAAAGCAATTAAGTGAATGTTCATAATTGGCTTGATGAGTAGCACAATCACCATACCCACTTCTGTAACATGTATGGAAAATGTGAAAATTGCTAGTTTGGGACAAAATCACTTCTTTAGGTCTGTTTTAAACTCACATTTACTATTACAACTGGTTTATTTCAAACTATTTTATTTTTGTCACATTTGATTCAAATTTGTATTTACCCATAATCCCTTTGGGTGTGGTCTTTTTCACAAATAATCAATTTCGAGTTCACTGACACAATAAAAAGTAGAAATAATAACATTTTGTATTACATGGAGGCTAGTATCTCCTCAGTGAGATCAACTGGCACTCTAAAAACTGACTTTCTGCCTCTTTTTACAACTTGAAGATCACATAACCGTTTTTCTCTTGGAAATTCAGCTCTCTTTTTGCGATTCTTTTCATTACATTTTAGATTCCTTAGCCTATTCTTTTCCTGCTTTTTCCTCCTCCACTCTTTGATCCTCGCAAGCTTTTCTTCCTTTTCGTTAACCATACCTTTTGTCAAACGCACCTGAAGCGATATTTACAGATTGCTAAATCTCACAAAAATTATTGAGCTTGAAGACCCCGCTATCCTTGATAACGTCGCAGAAACCCAAAACAAGGAAAGGTTACCAAGCTCTTTTCGACACGGAGATGAAAAGATGAAGGCGAAAATGGTGGAGCAAACAGCAGATTTCACAGCGCTTTTGGTGGCATTTGTGGCGAGACTCCGTTCTCAATATGGCGTCAACATGGTAAAAAGCGTAGCGACTTGGTCAAAAGTGAATATTTTGGCCGTTTCTGTAGATATGGACCCAAAAACTTGGAAATGACAAGAGAAACTTATGAGCATTGAAGTGCAATCGATTTCGAAACCCGACTTTGCCGTGTTTGAAGTATAGTAGCGAAGGAGAAGGTAAGTTGATGAAAAATATTATTGCGTAATCAGGTTTTAGAAAACCGTAGCGACTGTTTTACACTGATATTTCTCCGTTTATAGTCAATCCTTTAGACTGATTTTTCGCTATTTTAGAACACCAAGTATGAGCATTTGGTTGATGTGTTTTTGTTCCCACAGGATTCCAGTTCAGTCAATCTACGGACAACAACTTGGTGTACTTCCAAATTCTGAAACCCAGTGTTACATAAAGGATACTTAGGAATGATGAATCTTTTCTATGCGTTGTAATAAACTTGAAATGTCAAAGTTTTGTTGTGTGTTATCATTAGGTGTAATTTGTTTGCTCAAACGAGCTTTCTTTTCACTGGAAAATGTATTTCAAAAATTTTACCACTGATATTGTGTTACGCGTTACAACCAAAATTGGCTTGATTTTTCATCTTTCACGGGTATTTTCTCGAGGACAGTAATGTGGTTTTCTGATTTTTTGCTTTTACAATAATCAATAAGAACAACTTTACCTGTAAGCAAAGATTTGGCATCAATGAAAATGTAAAACAGAAGAAATCATTGAAAGTTTGCAGTCAACCCCCTATGGGCATGGTGATTGTGCTACTCATCCTTACAATATAGTGATATCACATAAAGCCATGATCCTGGCAGGTGAGCGGCAATTTTAGCAATTGCAGAAAAGAAGCAGTAACACTAGTGATACAGTGTCAATGGGAATCGTGTTTTCTCATTCATTCTACAGAAACTGGAAAAAAACTTGCAAAATACAGTGCAGTAGAGATGTTATCAAGTATTGTTTTTGGTTGATTCTTGAAAATGATGTAGGATTTGGTTGATGCACTTTACTTAGCTCTGTGATTTGTGAAGAAACTTCTTGCACCTTCTAAACCAATTTGATACAAATCTTGCACCAATCAAGATTTGTTTTCATTTTTCTTTGCTTCAGGCAGTTTGCTGTTTAAGTTTTTGAGTTCTCTCAATTCTTATGGACAACAATTTGCATAATTAGGTGCATATATTACATATAATACATTAACTCTCCTACATCACAAACAATATGTTACATACAAAATATTATAAATGATAAACTTCCTATAATTAATTTCTTACAAAAATTAATTGTGTTTTCTTTCAATGCCACTCTATGTTAACAGTGAACATTACCTAAACAGTGGTGATGGTGTTGGGCGGGGGATTGTAATATTTTTCATCTTAAAATTTAGGCTATGATGTGAAAAAATTTTTTAATCCCCTGCCCTCTAATGAAAAATTCCTTGATCTGCCCCAGCTTACTAAGTTAAATTGTGTAGTAAATGCTCACAATTCTTACAGTACTCACAAGAAGTAATGAACGTAGTTTATCAACAACATGATTATCTACATTACAAATCTTTTTATACTAAAAAAAAGTCTTCTTAAACTGGGTATGAAAAAATTTGAACATACAGGTTTAAAAAGGGACAGAAGAAACTGTCAGCTAGCTTTTTTGTAGTGTATGATATTTTTGAATTTTTTTTATATAGGGTCAATTACCTCAGGTGCTATCAAGACTTTTTCCTTTCAAACGAGGTTTATGCCATGCCTACTGGGCTCCAAATTTCTGGGCTTTGTACAATGCACTGGACAAGGCTATTGCTATTTTTGGTAAGGTGTAAATGACTTAATCCTTCAACTTCTAGAAGTGATTAAAATGTAACTTCTCCTTTAATATCCATACATCGTCCAGCAAACAGGTAATGAGAGTACTCAAACTCATCAGGTACAAGTTTTAATCTTGATGTGACGTCAAATTCTCATAAATTATTTCCAAGGAAATGTGCCACAGCTAGGGGAGAATTAGCAATCAGATCATAGGAGTTGAATGGTTTACAACAAGTTCAAAATCAATACAATATTCCAGCTGAGTCTCAAATATTGTGTGTGGTACTCTGCCATTTGGCACAAAAATTTGGCAAGGTTTGGTTTAGTATTTTTTGAGATTTTAAGGCTTTGTTCTTCAGTTACATAATAATATAAATTCCACAGAAAATAATTCCATCAAAACAAAATACTGCAAAATTTGCTTTTGAATACTTTGGTCTGTTGAGGAACTTGAGGGAATGAGGCTCCAGCCAAGCAGGGGACAGGAAAATTGTTTTCTGTGGTTTCATTGTTGTGTGGCACTGTTTTGGTATTATGTTCTAAGAGTTAAGAAGTTCAGATATGAGATTGAAAAATTCAGTTGGATGTTTCCATGTGCTGAAACTCAATGAGTTAAGAAAGTCAAAAATATTACCAGACATTTCCTTGTTATTGTTTTATTTTGGTTATCTTGATTAACTTAAAAGTGCCTCAGCAAAACCCAAAAATTGACAATCCCCAGAATAAAACTACTACACAATTTTCAAGTTATATGATTGCCACGGTTTAGATAGCTTAAAGTTTTTCACAATTTGTATTACTGAATTTTAACCTCAAATTAATTGTGTGATTCTGCCCATCCAGAGCTGTTCATTTGTTTGCTGAATCAGCCAATAGTAAAGTTGTGTTCGGTGCAAGTCAGAAGAAAATCTAGCATCTGATTGTACTGTCAGCTTATAGATAACGTGACATACAGTTGACAAAACTTGATAAAATCACTGGGAAAAAACCTTTATCACCACCAAAAGAATTGCCTTAGAGTTTTACCAAAACCATCAATAGGCTCTTAATCAGCTGCAAACAGAAATCTTAGGTTACATTTGTAGCAATATTTGGATAAATTTGTGCAAATTTATAGGATTGACAAACTTGATAAAATCATGGAAAAAAACCTTTATCAGCAAAGAATTGCTTTAGAGTTTTACCAAAACAATTAATAGGCTCTTAATCAGTTGCAAACAGAAATCTTAGGTTACATTTTTAGTAATGTTTTGGATAAATTTTACCACAGTTATTAGAGAGCCAGTAATGCTCCTTGCAATCGACAAAACAGAATGTTTCCATCAGAGCATTATCACTCACGCAGTAGAAGACTTTAAAATGGTAGTCTATGTATGAAAACAATAAATTATATTTTTGTGTCATTTTAGGTTCAAAAGCAGGAATCTTGCCCAAAGATGCCATGAAAAGTAAAGCTTCCATGACAGGTGGTTTGGTTGGTCAGTCTGAGCACTTGATTCTTCCATCAGTTCCTCCAGTTGTCACAATGATCCTAACACTTTTTTCTGTGATGGTGAGTTGACAGGGACCAGTCAGTTTTTATTGGGGGGGGGGGGGGGGGGGGG